GAGCCCGCGTGCCACAGGACCACAAGGTAATGTCACACAGTGATTACAATTATGCAGACTAATAGAGAAACATGGGAAACGCTGAGAATGTGTAAGAAATATGAAATTTAATGTAAAAAATGAATATATCCATACAAAAGCATGCACATGTAATAAAACATGCACATGAAAAATGGAAAGGCAGTATGTAAAAAAAGAAAAAGCTTTGTGACACTGGTGAGATTAAGAATGTCTTTCATTTTCTCAAACATTTATGTAGTGTTATTACACTGGCTCACACTATTTGAAAAGGTGGAGGGGGTTGGGGCAGGTGAGAGTCATACTCCCGCAGCCCCCTCCCATCACTCTTTGTCCTAAACGGTCAGTTCTAGGAGGGGAAGGGCCGTGTCTGTCAGCTCTCGGCCCAATGCCTAGCGCTTATCAAATGCTCACTAAATATTTGTTGAATGAATAAATGAAAATGCATGAAGTCAAGAAAGTCTCAACCCATGACGACCGGGTACATTCCATCCTGGGGAATAAAGGGGAATTTAGTTTTGCTGGAATTAAAAAATGAAGGCCCATCCATAACGGCAATTCCCTGGTCTTCCTGATAAGTGAATTTGGGAGTGAAGAACCCAGGGAGAGACAGTCTGTGAAAGCAAACCCAATTACCACCCAGGAACATATGTTGCCCCGAGGCCTCTGCTGCCATAACAACATCATGTAACTATAACTACAGCCCTGAAGGGCTTTGGCCCTGTCAGATATGGGAACAGACGTCTTCATCACAGCACAGCTTTGTGCTCAGATTGACCCTAGGGAGCTCGGATCGGGAGAGGGAGGCAGATAAGTGGAGGAAGGGGGCGGGGGATGAAGGGCATGAGGAGGAGAGCTGCTACTGAGTCAGGAACAGAGTAATTTTTTTTAAAGCAGTTCTCAAAATGTGGTTATTTGACTGTTTAATTTTGGTGGCTATTTATAACCCCAACTGCCGAGGCGGGGAGTTGTGCCTGAGCCTGCTGGGATCCGTCCAACACCTTCCCCCGGGGTGAGGCTGGGAGTGGGTGGTGGGTAAGGGTGATACAAGAACCAAATTAACAAGTGTCCAAGAAGGTAAGAGAAGTTCCGGGCCATCTCCTGCAGGAGTAAAAAAGAAAGGGCCATTAGTGGCTGTGCTGACTCTATTTTTAAAGCAGCTTTAAAGAGAAAATATTTTAATGTGAATTATGGTGACATCAGCAACCGCTGAGATTTTCCCAAAGGGATAAAGACTAGGCCAGTAGGAGATGGGCCTGGCTCTACTCGCATTGTCTTAAAAAGGTCAAGGTACACTTCCCCTACTTATAGGACAGTTATCTGCACACAAAGGAAACTACTGCTCCTAACCCCTCCTAGGCACATCACTGGTCAAAAAAGAGGCTCGGAGGAGAGACCATGGCTGGTTCTGTGCAAGTCTTCCCTAACCGATCCAACGCCTGGCAGCAGGCACCCCATTTACTGAGCCCTTTTAGATGCCAGCCAGCAAGGGAGAAGCTGGAGACAGTGTGGCCAGCCAGGCAAGGCTCCCAACCTCCAGGAGCTCTCAAGCCTTTGAAGCAAACAATGAACAACTACACTTTGTATTTGAAATCTGGTACCTATCATTTTACTGGCAAGGGGAGCATTTTAAAGGAAATTGAAGGATCTTTCAGAAAGTTCACAAACGTGGCTGAGGAGACAAGATACAGTTAAAGAAAATGAACAGGGACATACCCGAAGGATTGCCTTCACTCCCCCTGCCCTGCTCAATTCTGGGTAAGGTTACGACAGCAGTGTTGTTACTGGTCTCACTGCCTCGGGTCTCCCTGCCACTCTGCTCAGGTCCCCTCACAGCTTCCAGAGAAGTCTTTAAAATGCAGATCTGATCATGGGACTCTCCTGCTTCAAGTTCCTCAGGAATCTCCCATCACCTCTAGTTCAGGTCCTTAGCAGGGTGCTCAAGGCTCTGCATGAACAGGTTCCCAAAACCATTCCTGCCTTTTCTTTTAGACAACTACCCCCGACTCCATCATGCCGTTAGTCACCCCACACGCAATGCTGCTTCACACCTCTGCACTTTTGCACGTGCTGTTCACTTTGCATGGACAGCCCTATTCTTGTTCACTAGCAAAATTATTTGTCCTGAGATTTCACTCTTATTTTTTTCACCTCTTTTACAAATCCTTTCCTAAACCCTCCCAACACTCTCCTTCCTCCTTTGTACCACTCCTGAACTTTGCTCATCCATCTACTTTCCCATCAATATAGTACTTTGGGACAATGAGCTTCCTGGCTTGGGGAAACAGTGTTTTGTCGATATTGGTGTCACTGAGTGCCTGGTATACGGTGCCTGGGTAATCATTGTGTCTCTTGAGGTGAAGTGAGGAAGTGGTTGAACAGACAAGCACAACCAACCACTGAGACCACGTCAAGATGTATTCACAAACACAGAGGTGTTACAGACACGACTAAGGTGACTGGCATTAACATGAATGTCAGTAACAACGACCATTTACTGGGCTCTTCCTCAGACACGGGACTGTGCTAAGTGCTTTAGGACAATCATGTCCTTTGACCCTTATGACAGTTACCCTGGGAGGTGGCTATTAATGTCTCTGTTTCACAGATGAGAGAACTGAGGCACAGATAAATTTTAAAACTTGCCCAAGAACAACACAGGTAGAAAGTGGTAGAGCTAAAATTCAACCCCACCAGGTAGAAAGTGGTAGAACTGATGAATAAAATAAATAGGAGTTATATGCTCCTATTGTTTAGGAAGAAGAAAGGGGAACAGAATAGCTACTTAATTGTATAAAGAAAAGTATAAATATACCAGTAAATGCAAAATAACATATCTCTGTACCCTACAACCTCAGAAATACTAAATCAGGAAAGATTAACATTAATTTCTGAAGAAAGTAAATGTTAAAGAAGGCTGGCAGATGTACCGAGGCAAGGGTAACAGCAGAGCTACCTCTGTGAAGTCCGGTGGATGAGGTTGGACACGGGGGCAACTAGTCAGGGGCTTTGAAACCAACATCAGTTCCTCCTTCGAGAGCTGATGGATGAAAATGACACTCGCAGTAAACATTATGTTTGACTTAAAAAAAAAAGAGAAAGAAAAAAGCTTCCAGGATGTTCTACTCTCATCTGAAACACACATTTTCTTTAGGATTTTATTTCTTTCCTATTGGTGTTTTTTTTTTTCATCTTCCCACCCGATTGTACACTGTCCAAGGACAAGAATCATGTCTAAATGAAACAGTAACACTTTTAATGTTAACTAATGTTGAACATTTGTAATGTTGTTATTGGTAATGATGGGTGGTTAAGCATGATTAGACCTTATTTTAAAATACTAGTTTCACCATCTATACATTCAGTGACTAGAAAACAGTAAACACATTCTGATTGACTAGCAACCATTTGCTGTGGGTAGAGCATGGTCTCGGCACTTCTACAGATTGTACGAAAGAAACGAGCTATGTTCTTAACATAAGAGCTCCTGACCACTAGTCCTGGAGCCAGCCATCCAAGAATGACCTCAGAAACACACCAGTAAGTGCAAAATAGCAGTAACAGTGGGAAATTAAGTGCTTAAGTGCTAGCGGTATACTGGAAGAAGAATCTTGAGCCCTGCCAAATAAGTTTTTATGTGCAGTTCAACCTAAGTAGGTTATTCAAAGGTACTCATACTAAACACTAAAATCTAAATATTAAATACTAAAAAATGCCTGTCTTAATGCCAGCCCAGGATATCCCCAAGGAGAGAGCTGGCTAAGGGTCTGGAATTTTAACTCTTCAGAGTCCTCTCTTGAGCACATCAATCAGATGTTTACCTTCCTTTGCTTTGTTCTTTAGTTCTGCACCTGCGGGAAATCTCCACTTTAGTTGGCCTCAGGTGAAACTGGGGTCCACGATCCTAAATTAATGACCGAGCTTGCCTGGAGTCCACCCAGTCGTTCATGGCCAAGCTTTGGTCCTCTCAAGGCTTTTCCTCCAGAGTTTAAATCCTCCACGCCTGCTCTCCACTTCCCAGCCTTTTCTTACGGCTCTTCTTCCAGCCTTATATCCTTAATCAACTTCGTCCTTGACCCTCTCAAAGCAAGCCCTATTATTATTTAAACATCCATGTCTTTTTTTAGCTCCAGTTTCACTAAAAATGTTCCTTCCTCTTCTTCCCTCCCCAAACTCCTGGCTCAAGCATCTGATTGCCAGGGGTCACTTGGGCTAAAACGGGGTTCATTGCTTCTCCGATTCTGATACGACACCCAACCTCCCGTTCCCACGGGCTACTCAGGCCTCTCAAACCCGTACAGACTGGGGGGAGGAGGTGCGCGCTCACCACAAAGCTAAATTGGGAATTCTTTAAAAGTGCAGCTTCTGGAGAATGGTTCAGCCTTCGGCGACAGGAATGACTAACTTAATTTGCCGTTCGCTGAGGGCAAGGACAATGTCTCCCCTACAAAAAACTTCCTGATTATGGACGCTACCCTTTCGCTCCTTTTACAAACCTCCATTCCCACCACTTTGAGACACAGGGTGGCTCTGAAAATAGTTATTTTGTGCCAAGTATCCCTTCTCAACTTTGAGTTTCTATGATGGACGTAAACGTTCTTTAGCCAATTAAGCAATGAAGGGGTTAAATATCAACAACCTGATGAATTCTGGGGATTTCCTTTCTCGACTTCAGAAATTAAAACGACTGGGAAGGGAAATTTTGCCCAAGGTAAAGATGAGAACCGTTAACTTCAATTGTCAGGTTTCTGCCCCAAATAAGGATGGCTACTCACGCCCACAAAGGGTGCCATTCCCCGAAGTAAAAATGGCTGGCGCCTGTTTGTACCTCGTGCCCAATTCCAAAATGGCGCTCACTAGCCTCACCAGGAGCGAACCGCCCAGCACCCTATCTGAACCGCAACGTCAAAGTGACGCGAGCCCCAGCCGGAAGTGAAGGAAAAAGCGCCTCAGCCCGCGGCGCCTGCGCAGAAGGTTGTAGACGCTGTAAAGCAAGAAGCACTTGGGATCGTCCGCAGGTTTGGGACTGCTACAGAGGCCGCCACGGAGCCCTCCGGAGCCACCGTTCCTCTTGCTGCTGCTGCCGCTGCCCGAATTGGGACTGTCGGGCCGCAGCCGCCGGCAATGCCGCGAAGGAAGGTGAGAAAAACGGGATCGGAGGGATGGCGGGTGTCTAGGGACGGTCGACTGAGCAGTGTGACGCAGTTGGTCACGTCTCACAGAGCCTGGGTTCCAAATTTCCGCTCCCTCAAATCTAGCTCGGCAACCCTCTGTTAAGTTCATACCCAACAGAAAAATGTGGGCCCGACCCTGGCCTCGGCCTCTGCGTGTAACTATTCCCGCCCTCTGCTTGCCTGGCTCGGAGGCGTTCTTTTTGTTAATTGGTCGCTGAAACGGCTAGGAGCATATTAATTGGCTGGTGTCACCGCCAATCATTTGTGCCCAACGGTTACCTCCCAGCATACGGGGGGAGGTGTCTGGGCCGGGCCCTAAGCTCTCGGACTGGCTATGGAGAACGATCCCTTCTCTTTTGATTGGCTGAGCTTGGCAGTCTGTCCCGTTGAGGGGGGCGGTGCGGCTTAGCAGACCGCGATTGGGTGTCACAAATCCCCACCCTTCCGGCTGGTGATGCTGTAAGTGGAGAGGCGGGGTTTCGGAGCATCCTTCCTTTCCAGGCGGGGGACACAACAAAGCAGGGGCCTGCATGGGAGGAGTCCACCGCTCATTCCCAAGGGATCTCGCTATGGCCAATTGCATTCAAGCAGTAATTCTTTCTTTCTTTTTTTTTCTTTTTCTTCTTTTTTTTTTTTGGCCAACTAGGACTGCCTAGAAAATGGAGTTGATAAAGTCAAAAACTTTCTAGAATTAATGGGACTTAAGGAGACCACCTTGGGACATCCCACCCCTTCTTTTTGCAGCTGAACAGAGGCCTAAAGGAGAGCCCCAAGACACTCAATTAGGCAATGGCAAAGCCAGCATTACAGAACAAATCTAATGTAACAAATTTTTGTTAACTACTTGCAGTGTGCTGATTGCTGGGGATTCAAAATTAATTAGACATAACCCCTGGCTTAAAGAAATCACAGTGCGAAGAGGGGGTGGGACAGACATATAAGTAACTGTAGGACCTAGTAAATTCTCTACTTAGAAGTATATATACAGGGTGTTAATGGGACAGAAGTGAGGAAGCAAGTAAGTCTGCTCTGGGGCAAGATGGGGAGGAGCCTTGGCAAAAGCCAGAGGAGAGGTCAGGCCAGGAAGGGATGGCCAGAGGTGATCAGGGGTTCAAATATCTGTATAACTGGACGAGATGTCCTTTAATTCCTACCCACCCCCTTTCATCTTACAGATTTTTATGATTCTGGGGTCTGTGCTCATTTCTAAACAGATCACCCTTGAACTATTTGGAAGGTTGGGTGTATTCTTGCTCATTTCTGCAGACGTCTTTCTCTTCACAGAGGCTCTCAAATAAAATATTTACACTTTTTAATGTTCTCTAAAAATGACCTTTGGTAGTTGTTTATTTTAAGGCTTAGAAAATGCAGGGATAGTATTGGTGCTTTGGAATAGGCCCACAGTCTCTCCAATACAAAGAGCTCTTGAAAAAGTAAGGTTTTTGTTTTTGTTTTTGTTTTTTGGTAACTTATTTGGTGGCAAAGCCAGTTCTAAACTGTCCTGAGGCTACTTGTAGTTTTTGTGTGTCTTCTTTAGTGTATGTGTTTTGCTGCAGAAATATCAATGTGTTTGATTATGGGGTGTTACTATTGAAAGTATTCCCTTCCTTAAAACCGATGAAATTGTGATTTCTAAACACAACTGGCCCTAAGAGTTTTTAAAGATTTTATTTACTTATTTTTTTAGAGGGAGAAGAAGGAAGGAAACGAGAGGGATGTGTGGGAGAAACATCCATTTGGTTGCCTCTGGCACGCCCCCAGCTGGGGGCCTGACCTGCAACCCAGGCATGCTCCCTGACTGGGAATCAAACCTGTGACATTCCAGTTCGAAGGCAGGCACGCAATTCACTGAGCCACTCAGCCAGGATCTCTATGGGTTTTGAATAAAGATTAGATTAGGGGACTTGTAGTGTGGGGCTTTGTATTGTGTGTGTGTGTGGTTTGTTTTGTTTTTCAAATGTTCTTCCCTTTCTGGTTTAGTAAAGGATGTATAGTGTTAATACTTAACTGATAAAAGTTATTCTTATGGCTAAACATACCCTAGGAAGCTAATAACTGACAAATAATTATTAATTGAAAAGATGATAAAAATCCTTTGTTCATGAATTCTTACAAGTCTTCTTGTGCAAGTTACTTTTTTTAAAAGCCTTTTTAGTATTCATGTAGAGAAGCTTCAAAGGTAGATAACATAAGAAAGAAGAATTTGACTCTTTTTTCTGCTTAAGTTATTTTGGAATCAGAGTTAAGGACCATGATGTTTTGAATTAGTGTATGGCTTTTTAAAGTGTGGTAGCTATTCATAGAGACTTTGAACGAAAGCTACTCTAAGGTTAAATGGGGTCAGGCAGTAACAGTTTTCTTACTCCCTTGGACTTTCTGTAAGTGCATGGTTATGTCAGCCAGGTCATTTTGAGCTGGATACTTTTATTTCCAGTTTGTGATACTGACTTCCAAATGGGCTTGTTTTAGAAATAGTCTTAATACAGGAGGAATTAATTTTTTTCATTTACTTTTTAAAGATTTTGTTTATTTTTAGAGAGGGGAAGGGAGGGAGAAAGAGAGGGAGAGAAACATCTGTGTGTGATTGCCTCTTGCGCACCCCCTACTGGGGACCTGGCCCAGAAACCAGGCATGTGCCTCGGCCAAGAATCGAACCAGTGACTCTATGTTTCGCAGGCCAGCGCTCAATCCACTGAGCCACACCAGCCAGGGTTCTTTCTTCATTTATTTAATAAAGGTATGTTATTTGTAGGTTGTTCCTTTTAAATGTTCAAAATAAAGGGAAATTAGCTGTGGAATCCTTTTTTAGGTTTGAACTTTGTGTTTTCAGCATTGTGGTTTGTTTTATTTCCAGTGTTAATACAGACCCACGGAGTAAATGTTTTCTGTGCTAATGTCTGGATCTATGGTGTTACAGAGGAATGCAGGCAGTAGTTCAGATGGAACCGAAGATTCCGATTTTTCTACAGATCTCGAGCACACAGACAGTTCAGAGAGCGATGGCACATCCCGGCGATCTGCCCGGATCACCCGCTCCTCAGCCCGGCTGAGCCAGAGTTCCCAAGGTAAAAGGCTTCTATCTTCCTGACCACACCTCACAACCAGCTGTCTGGTCGTCACATTATTGTGTTAATGTGGAAACTGGTCCCAAGGCTTGATATAGATGCTAGAACCTGGTGAGATGCAGGGTAAATGACAACACAAGCATCGGGGCTTCAAAAATGGTTCCTTTGGGGATGCTGTCTAGTTTTTAGGCCCAAAAGAATTTTGTCTGGTATAATGAATGTGTAACACATGTATGTCTTGAGTCATTTAGCTCAGGTCCCCAACCTCTGGGCCTCGGACCAGTACCAGTCCGGGCCTGTTAGGAACCCAGCCACACAGCAGGAGGTGAGCTTAAATGTAATGCACTTGAATCATCCCGAAACCATACCCCCTACCCTGGTCCATGGAAAAATTATCTTCCACAAAACTGGTCCCTGATGCCAAAAAGGTTGGAGACTGCTGGTTTAACATTTTAGATTACAGTTTTCCTGTCAGTGAAATGGGAATGTTATGATTTCACTTTCTGTTAGAATGGTGTAGATTTAGGGACTTAAAATAGTCCCTTGAACTTGTTATTGATGGGGACCCAATACTTCTAAAACCATGTTTAATTCTGTATATAGTCAGATATGCAGTTAACAGTTACAAACAGTTGATTCAATGATAAGTTGTAAATACCCAGAATTTGCTATGTTAGTAAAGAATAGAGAATTTCTGTGTTAAAAATTTAACAATTGCAGTTGTTAAACTTTTTTTTTCCTAGAGCAATTAGCCATCTGGGCTTAAGATTTGGAAGGCACCTCTGATCCCTTATGGCTCTGCTCTGGGATTCTCTGGGGAGGAAGGAGGGTCAGTTAATAAGAAAGCTGATGGTCATTACATTAAGGGGGGGAAATATAATATACTTTGAACACTTAAATAGTGCTGATTTGGTTACTGCTATATGAATGTTAGAGAAAACATTAGTTTTTCAAGCAAGGCAGTGGGCATATTCTCCTAACACCTGTTCCTAACTTTATTTTTGAATTTAATATTTCAGCTGGATTATAGCTGTTGTCTCTTGATTTCTCAACTTTTAAGTTTTGTTTTTAGCACAGTGGGGATATTGATAAGTGGCTACTGTTAATTCAGGTACGATGCCATGAACTAGAATGCCATGATAGAAAACTCAGTTGATGTCTTCAAGGACTGCTCAGTTTAGTGTGAGATGCAGATAATGTGAACTGGTCATTGTAATGCATTGAGGTAAGGACTCAGAGAGAGGTTTGCGTGGGTTACTGTGGAAGCCAAGAAATGGGGCAGCCAGATGAAGGCAGGACTCCCAGATGGAAATTTTAAAGGATCTAGTAGAAATTGACACAATGAAACATGGGGAAGTGTTATTATAGGTAGAAGGAACAGTGTATTCAAAGGAAAGGTCATAATGTGCTTAGAAGGTGTAATTGGTCATGCCCTGGACACCTGAAAGCTTTTTATTATTAATTTTGTTCTTAAAGATTTCATTTATTTATTTCTAGAAAAGGGAGGGGAGGGAGAAAGTGAGGGAGAGGAACATCAGTGTGTGGTTGCCTCTTATATGTCCTCTACTGGGGACCTGGCCTGCAACCCAGGCATGTGCCCCAACTGGGAATCGAACTGGCGACCCTTTGCTTCACAGGCCCATGCTCAATCCACTGAGCTACACCAGCCAGGGCTAAAAGTTTTAAGTATTCAAAACAGCTAGGAAGTACATGAGCTCTGAATCTCTTTCTAGTTATATACTCTGTGGCCACAGAGTCGCACAGCTGCTGGGGACACCATTCACAGTGTAGTCTATGTTAGGCAGCCTTCTCTACAGCGAAAAGTAGACTGCATTGTAAATGTAGCCCCCTGGAGGTATGCAAACTCATAACTTGTGTGCTAACTTACACAAAAGTTTGAGAATTTCAGTTTTCTGTTCAAAATATGCTTTAATTTTAGCTTTGAATTTCCTTTATTCCTTTTATAAGTGTCATCAGTTCGGAGATGCAGAAAAGCTGCTAGGTGCTTTAGAACAGGTTTTGCAGTCCAAAAGAATTGTAAAAGTTGTATTATTGCATAAGTCTTTATGAATCTATTATGATTTTGCTTCAGGGTAATCAGGAAGAAAAAAGATTCCTAAAGAAAGGAAATGTTTGTATATTGTTATACCTTTAATAATAGAATATTAGTTTTATGTTGGCTTAGAGTAAGGGAAGAGAGGATGCAACTCTTATTTATAAAGCACTAGATCTGTGTACCAGGCATCATGTTAAATCCTTTACATGTATTATCTCACTCCTCACAACAAACTGAAGAATGTTCTTCTAGTGTTTTCCCTTTTTTAAGGATGAGGGAGCAGGCTTAGAGAGATTAAGCTTGCCTGAGTTGCCACAGCTAGTTGGTGTGGTAGAGTGGAGTTGAATCTTTTTCAGTCTTGATTCTAGAACCTAAACTACTAATTCTTCATGACATTTCATCTCTTTGCCTGATCTAGGCTCTGCTGCTAAGTTTTATTTACTAAAGTAGTTCTTTTAAGGATTTGTTGGATTTTGTGAAATAGGAAGAAGGAGAGCCTATATGCTAATAAATCATATGGATAGGAAATACAACAGAGTTCCTTCTTTTTTCTTTAATTATTGTATTATCTTTTCAGATTCCAGCCCTGTTCGAAATTTGCAGTCTTTTGGCGCCGAGGAGCCTGTTTATTCTACCAGGAGAGTGACCCGTAGTCAGCAGCAGCCGACCCCGGTGACTCCGAAAAAGTACCCCCTTCGGCAGACACGTTCTTCTGGCTCAGAGACTGAGCAAGTGATTGACTTTTCAGATAGAGGTGAGTGGGCGTGGGAAAATTTGGACCCAATATACGGAGGATGTGGTCAATTTCTTCATAAGGAAGGCTTAGGCCACTGCAGGTAGATGCCCGATACTGACAAAATTTCAGCTAGGTGCATGCCGTTTGCCCGATTGCTTTCTGATGTCATGCTTAGGACAGTTTGCTACTGGAGTGTTCGTGAGATTCCAAAGATCTGGATCTATTAGATTGGATCTGCAGCAGGCAGAAGGGACTGGGCACCTCTTACCTACAGATGAAGAAAGCATGGACCAGATTTTCTTTAAAAGAATTAATTTTTAATTTTATTTTTCAGTTACACTTGACATTTGATAAGATTTTTATTAATAAGTTTCAGGCATACAGCATAGTGGCTAGACAGTTATATAATTTACAGGGTGATTCTCCTGATAATTCTAGTACCCCCCTGGTACCATACATAGTTATTAAAATGTCATTGGCTATATTCCCTGTGCTGTACTCTACATCCCCATGACTGTTTCGTAACTACCAATCTGTACTTCTCAAGCTCATCACCTTTTCCACCCAGCTCCCCAGTGCCCCTTCCATCTGGTAACCTTCAGTTTGTTCTCTGTATCTAGGAGTCTGTTTCTGTTTATTTTGTTATTTAGAATCCACATATAAGTGAAATCATATGGTCCATCCATGTTGATGGATCAGATTTTCTTACAGCCACGCTTGTCAGTCCAGTTATCTCTGAATTTCTGAGAAGAGGTGTCCTTCAGTAATGGGGGTGGCAAGCTGTTGAGGTTGTGATTCACCAGCCCTAATCAGAGGCCTGAGAGCAGAGGTTACAGACTGGTGAGCTTCTAACCCGCCAGCATGGTTGGTTGGTTTGCTTGCACAGTATTTACTTTAAAAAAAAAGTTGCCAATATTTGAAAATACAGAAATTTTATATGACAACCCGAGTTACTAGTTTCTTTTACAAAACAGAAAGCTCTAGGCACCTCAGATGGCCATTCACCCCAGGAATAGCTGGTAGTTGTCCCTCTAGATGGACGATTATCTCTCTGTTTGGCCTTGCTCAGCCCCTGCAGGCGTTTGGTATGCAAGCCCTTATTTTGAGTCTGGAGTTGTTAGGTTACCAACTCAAGAGTCAGGTCTGTTCACACTTTCACACCAGGTCTGTTTAGTGTTACCCAGAAAGACAAACATTTTTCTTTGTCTTCCATCCTGTGTATCTCCTGGAGATAGAGTGGTGTGGTAATGTTTTTAAAAATTTATTTCCATCCACTTTTGATTGGCCATGATTGGGGGCTTAGGAGGAACACAGATAAGTGAAAGTATTAGGTAACCCACAAATTCAATTTTAGTCAGAATTTAAAGTTGCCCAAAAAGAAGTGTTCTTTTTTCTTCATTTTCCAGTTAGCCTTTGTAAGAGAGAAATGGCTCAAAGTTACTGGTCAAAACGTAGAGGATTTGGAAAGCCCGTAAACTCTGCTGAATAGTAAACTGCTGACTAAACACTATTCACAAGTTTTATGAATTGTTTTTACTTTAGAAACTAAAAATACAGCTGATCATGATGAGTCTCCACCTCGAACTCCAACTGGAAATGCACCTTCTTCTGAGTCTGACATAGACATCTCCAGCCCCAACGTGTCTCATGACGAGAGCATCGCCAAGGACATGTCCCTGAAGGACTCAGGCAGTGACCTCTCTCATCGCCCGAAGCGCCGTCGCTTCCATGAAAGCTACAATTTTAATATGAAGTGTCCTACACCAGGCTGTAACTCTCTGGGTAAGTTCCCAGCACCCTATGTTCTGCGGCTCTCTCTCCTTGGGGATTTAGGATCACCCAGAAATGTTTAGTGCTCTGCTGCGATCGAGTTTCTTAGGTCATTCAGTGACCACGTGCTTAGAGGAACAGTGCATTAGTTGCCCACGTAAATAAAAGCATTTCTGCTTCGTGGCCTATTGTCCATAATAAAAGATCTGGAAATTAACTGTGATGCTTCATTCCGTTTATTGAGAACTTTCTCCCAGTGAAAAATTCTCTCCCTTTTCTAGTAAAAATTAAATGGAAGACCAGTTATCTCTCAATATTTCATTGTTTCGTAAGTAGTACAAGCTTAATGAGGGTTAATAGAGTATAAGCTAGTACAGAATAGTCGTTGTGGCCATGGCTGTTAAGGAAGTGAGAAAAGCAGATTATATACTTATCAAGAGACAATGAAACTTCAAGACTACAGATGAGACCTCCGCCTTTTGTGACTTCAGTAGTTTTAGGTCTTGTTGCTTTGTGTATTTAGTAAGTGTAAACTAGATAAACATTTCTTCTCAGATAAATGAGTATCTTACTGTTCTGACAAACTGTGAACCCTTGCTGAGGGATTCTAGTCATGGCTTAAACCTTATTTGTGCTCCCTGGGTGAGCTTAGGTGCAAACGTTGGGCTTAAGCTTTTGTCTGGAGTTGGAAGGTGCTGATGGGAGACAAGGGAGGGGCCTTTCCCTGCTGGGTCCACATCTCAAATTTAGCCTTTGAATGCGGCCAGCAGGTTCAGAAAAAAAGGTAGAACAGAGTAAGTTGCTGCTTTGCAGTCTACCGTACATTTTCCCTAGTATTTTATTTATTTGGATCCTTCCCAGATCTTAGCAGCAGTTTCTAAAAAAATTCAACCCATCCAAATGTATAAAAAAACAGCTAAAGTTCCTCTGAATGCCATAATAGTTGTCCAAGATAACTGTTTCAGGCCCAAGTCAATTTCCTTGGGATAAATAATGAACAATTAAGATTAGGTGACATCATGTAAAGCCTAGTACAAGCAAGAGATAGCTAATGTGCTTTAAGAGGATAAGGGGATCTACTTGCTGCTGCACAGGAAGAGAGGGAACTTTCCTTAGTTCTGCGCGTCACTGTCCATGCATCCCTGAATTGTTACTTTTATTTTATGTACTGTGTTTAACTAGTCATTCAGTAAATACTTATGGAATATATATCGGGCATACAAGTGAAGGAGAACTTTTATGCACTTCAAGCCTTTCTGCAGGGTTTTAACTTTTCACAAGCACATAATACTTTTTACCAAAATGTTTTTTTTTTTTTTATGTTAATGCCTAAGATAAGTAGTGGAACACGATTAATAATAGTTTTGGAAGCTCAGGTTCATACTTTTCAAACTGTGTCAGTACATTAAAACCAAAAGTCAAAGTAAACTTTCCTCGAATGCAATAGATTTATATTTACCTTCTGGTCTGCTACATTAAGGGGCTAAGTCCTGGCATAACCGACACCTTCTGACCTCATCCCTCCCTTTACATTCTGGTCGCTGTCTGCCCCACGCACGTTGGCCCAGAATGTGCCTCTCTGCTTAAGCATTCTCCTGCTCCCGGCCCCTCTGCGCCTGCTCTTCCCTCTAAGCTTAGTGCTTGCTCCCCAGATACTCATACGGCTCTTTCTCAATTCTTTCTGCTCATATGTCATTTTATCGGCGTGGCTTTCCCTAACCTGCCGTGTGTGCGCGCACACAAACATCATCCTTCCCTCTCTGCCTGTCATACTTATTTTCCTTCGTGGCACATATTTCTAGTTGAATACACCTGTCTGGTTTGTTTTCCTTGGTTAGTTATCTCCAGAAGGGTTGAGATTTTTGACACGTTCCCAATTACATCACCAGAACTTAAAAAAAGTGTCTGCCACTTGGGAAATATTCAGTAAGACCCTGGTTGGGTGGCTCAGTTGGTTGGAGCATTGCCCCTTCTACCAAAAGATTGCAAGTTCGATCCCCGCCCAGTCAGGGTACATACACGAGGCAACTGATCACTGTTTCTCTCTCACATGGGTTTCTTACAGTTACTCTCTCCCCCTTCCTCTCTCTCTAAAACCAGTAAGCATATCTTTGGGCGAGCATTAAAAAAATATACTTGTATGTGTACATATTTCTTGTTAGTATTCATAGAAAATACACAATGATTGGTTTGACGTCTTGGATATTTACATTATTAGCACTTAGAGAATACAAAGAATTCAATTGTATTGTTAGTTCATAAATTAAATTGTCCTATGTTGATTGACATTTAGATTATTTCTCATTTTTACCTATTTTGAACAATAGGGTAATGGATAGTTTTGTATGTATGTATTTTGGCGTCTTTCTAGAAAATCTGTTGGATAAATTCATAGCTGTGGAATTTCTAGATGAGCTATTGTCTTAAAATTTTTAATATGAACACATTAAATTGGTTTTAGTTGACATGATAAAATAAGACATGACTCGGATAATTTACTCAGCAGATATAAATGTATAATATCTAAAAATACAGGCTTGCTGTAGCAGTGACACTTTGCATTTTACATATAGTGTTTGACCACTGAGGGTAGTTTTTTGTGCCCAAGATAAATTACGTGGATTTCTAAAATTGTATTTTTAATAATACAATTCTAGAGAAATGGCAGCCTGTACATCATATAGTAACTCCCCTCTCCTCCAGAACTTGGAGCATGTTTGCCCTTTAAAGCTTATTCTGTAAGTCATGTTGTATGATTTTTTAAATCCCAGTGTCTCCTTTACTCAAAATTAAATGTCTTTTTTTATGAAAGAAAAATAAAGATATTTGCAGACTTGCAGTTTTTAGCTTAGCCAGTTTGCCTTTTTACCCCTCTAGCATCATCGCACCGCCCCTCTCGGTCTCAGCCGTTCTGCACACCTTCTGGGTGTTGAGGAGACGCTTAAAAAGGAAATGATGTTTCACCGTCCTCATAAGAGGGCCTTGTGCAAACCGCCTGTTTAAAAGTTTGGTTATGGAAGAAGCCTGAATCTTTAAACAAAACCAGCCTCCCCCCTCCAAAAAAATGAATATATTTAATTTGGTCCAAAGTTACCAAAATGTGTTTACTTATATGATAGAGAAGACTGTTTCGTTCTCCACTTTTCATAAGCTTCTGTTGATTATTAAAGAAGTTCATTAGGTAGATAGAATTGCAAAACAGAAAGTACACATGTTACACATATGACTTGATCCATTTAGCATAAGAAAGTTAAATTTTACCAAAAGAGAATATTCCTGCTTGTGATTTTGTGCCTTTATCGTAATATGGCTTTATGACATTTTAGAATTTGAGAAATCCATATCAGAATAGAAGGAACTGAACATACACAAGTATGTGCAAGGTCGGCCCGATCCAACCTGTGGAAGAAAAGAATTTATTGTGGGTGCAACTTATGGCCCTTAACAGCAGTTACCTTTGATGGATTCAGTCTGTCTGATTCAGTGTCTTTGACCAGACATGTATTTGGTAAAAATGATACAGCAAAAAAGAAAGAAAGAAAGAAAGACCACCCTGGCTGGTGTGACTCAGTGGATTGAGCACGGACTGCAAACCAAAAGGGTCACCAGTTTGATTCCCAGTCATGGCACATGCCTGGGTTGCAGGCCAGGTCTCCAGTGGGGAGTATGTGAGAGGCAGCCAAACATTGATGTTTCTCTCCCTCTCTTTCTCCCTCCCTTACCCTCTCTAAAAAAATAAATAAAATCTTAAAAAAGAAAAAGAAAAACCAGCTTTTTTGTTTTTGTTTTTGGAGAAAAATAGCACTTTCAAAGTTTAAATCTTCTATCTTGAGATTGTTTTCCCTTCCTTTAACAGGACATCTTACAGGAAAACATGAGAGACATTTCTCCATCTCAGGATGCCCACTCTATCACAACCTCTCAGCTGATGAATGCAAGGTAATTGTGTTCTCTTTTATTCAGCTTGTACCTATCGAGTACTTACCATTTGCCAGGCACTTTGCTAAATGATAGGCCTCCAGTGAGGACCATAGGCAAGGTTCTTGCTCTTAGATTCCAGAGGGCGCCCTGGTTGGTGTGACTCAGTGGATTGAGCACTGGCCTGCAAACACAAAGGTCACTGGTTCGATTCCCAGTCAGGGCACATGCCTGAGTTGTGGGCCAGCTTCCCAGTTGGGAGTGTGTGAGAGGCAACTGATCAATGTATCTCTCATACATCAGTGTTTCTCTCCTTCCCTCTCTCCCTCCTTTCTCCTCTCTCTTTTTAAAAAATTCTAGTGGGGGAAACAAAAAACAACTGTTTTTAAAAACAATGGTTAGATAAAAGAATCAACTATAGTACATAATGAGTGCTTTGAAAGAAATTAACAAGGAGGTTATCCACGGAATATTTGGGACATCACCTTATAGTGCATTACTTTTCATTGAAAGTTAAAAGACTGGTAGAGACCTTTTTCACTGAGGACTCATTTGCATAAATACATGGTGTCAATATTTATGCATTAGGTAGGTTCTCTTCTTATAAATCTATGAAAACATTTTGCTTTTAAAAAGTTTTTCAGCCCTGGCCAGTGGCTCCATTTGTTGGAACATTGTGCTGTAAACCGAAAGGTCACGGGTTTGTGTGCCAGTCAGGGCGCGAGCCTAGGTGGTGGGTGCAGTCCCACTGTCGGGGCGTGTATGAGAGGTGACCAGTCAGTGTTTCTCTCTCATGTCAGTGTTTCTTTCCCTCTCTCTCGCTCTGCTTTCCCTTCTCTCCGAAATCAATAAGCATATCCTTGGGTTAGGGTTAAAAAAAACCTTTTTCATAATTCTTTGTCTCTTTCTGCAGAGTATTCTTCCTTTTTGTTACTCTCAATCACACCTACTCTTGGCTAATTCTTGTTGTAAATTCTTGAAATATATAGTCTTAAATAACCTTTGTGATTTTAGAATAATGGATTTAGGAGTGGAACCTAAGATCCTATTTTATATGTTTCTGTGTGGGTTGCTGCCACCGAGGATGGAGCTGGAAAACTTTGGGGAAACAAGAGTTGAAAATGTTGTTAATTACCGTAAATGGATTGCTCAGGTAGTATTTATACAGGTTATCCAAGCTGGTTAAGGCAAAGCATTAATTGTTTTTGTGCTTGTTACTTTGTTAGTAAATCCAGGGTCAAAGGTTGATTCTTATCTGGGGCAGTTTCATCCTGAAAAAAATTAGATTCCCCAGCTGATATTACCTTTCCCCGATTCAGACATTTGTTCTCTCATTTATAAGCCCAGCATAGGATGGAAAGTTTCTTTATGTGTTCAGTCTTTCAGCAAAGTGGTATGCTGTCAGTGCTTATATGGATTTTAAGGTTGAGGACACTTTCATTTTCTTCATTCCAAACCTCTTCTATAAGCAAGGCAGTGTCTTCTGCTCTGTGTAAGAGTAAGTGGTAGGGCTTCCTGTTATTCTTCCTATGACCTTCCTGTTCGCCCAAGACCAGGTCAGACAGGAGCAGCTCTGCTGACGTCTGCACCAGAGCGGAGAAGCTACTGTGTGCTCCTTTCTCTGAAAGTAGCTGTGATGCCTGGTTTTTGAGAGTGGTCTCCTGTCTCTTATTTCTGAATAGAACGGTCTGATACTGTCACTGGTTTTACATAAAACTCTTGCTGAGGTATAACTTCAACTTGTTGGCCTGTAGCAATAGGAGCATGTTACCTTAAGAAATTTATTTTTTGAAAATAAAAATAAAAAGTATCAGTTGTGGAAGAAAATTCTGAAAAAAAGGAAAGCATTACTGATTTTTTCTTCTTTTGTGCTTTTCTTTTCAAGGGGAGTCAGGCTCAGTCAGCATAATCCATCTTTACCACTGGAACGTGTGTTTGGAGAATCAGGAGAATTTCTGGGGGATACATATTTTTACTATATTTAGAGTCCCAAATGGAGAGATTAGACTAATTCCTCACATTTATTAAAAGCTCTAGCATTTTTTAAGCCCTTGCATATACGTGGTTACTCCGAGCTTCCTGGCGAACGACGGCCGTCAGTGACGCAGCCATGTTTGTTCAGTCCTAGGTTTCTGTGACTGCAGGCGCCAGACAGTGCTGGCGTCCAAGGGTTCTGCGAAGGGGAGAAGAGGCTGTGCATTCAAAGGAGTGTGCGTTCTCATGGCGGGAGGCAAAGTCAACACATACATTAATAAGTAATAAGAATGTCATGCAGTGGGAAATGTAAGAAACACAAAGACTAAAGTGGCAGCTTTGGGGTGTTGGGGGGTATGGCTCCACTTTTGCTTGGGCTGTTAGGAAGGCCTGTTGGAGGTGTTGATATTTGACCTGAGCCATGGCGGACAACAAAGAGGCAGTTGTGTCAAGATCTAGGGGGAGAGATCTGACTAGAAGGATGAACAAGCTCAGAGGCTGTGAGAGGTGGCAAACTGTTGGGTTTGAGGGGCCAAAACTTGGCCAGTGTGGCCGGACCATGATGGGGAACGAGGAAGCTGGACCCAGATCATAAAGGACCTGTGGGTCCTGGCACAAGGAGTGTGTTTGTGTTCTGATGGCTGTGGGAAGCATCTGGAGTGTGATGTAATGTCGTAAACCCCTTTCAAAAATCACAGCTTGCTGGTGTGCGGAGAATGGACTGGAAAGGGAAGAGCTGACTCAGGGTAGTCTAGTGGGAAGGTTGCTCTGAAGTTCAGCAGCGGATGGTGACCGGGCTTGTGTGGTATCAGTGGGGATAGTAAGAACTAGTAGGAACTGGTTGCACTCAGGATATATTTTGGAGGGGAGCAGCCTAATAGACTTGCTGGTGGATTTGATGTGAGGTGTAGGAGAAAAAGAATCAGGTACAACATTCAGGTTTTTGACCTGACCACTTGTGTAGAGAGAGTTGCTCTTTATTGGTGTAGGAAGATCTGGGGTGGAGCGGCGCTGTGGGGGAATGTCAGCCTTCTGTTTTGACCGTGCTGAGTTTGAGGGTCGAAGTTGTCGAGACTGTTGTGTATGAGCCCTTCCTTTCCCGAAGATGAAACTGAAATTGTTGGAGAGCTAATGCGATTTGTGTTAACTACGGAGTTGTTTCCCTACAGACTTGACTGCAGATATCTAACGTTTTCTTTGCACTTCACTCTGTTCTTTGGACTTCCTCTGTTCTTGTTTCTTTTTCATTGTGCAGTAGAAAGAGTCCAGGTCCGAGTTTTCAGTTAAACTTTAAATTCTTAGCTTTACCACCAAGATTTAGCTGTAATTGTTTGACTTCTCTGATTCTCAGTTGGTGGCTAGGAAAACAGATTGTGAAGCTTGCCTTACCTGTATCTTACAGATTTTGTGAGAAGTAATGTGAAGACCCTTTGGGAGTAAAAGTGCCACATAAATTCAGGGGATTCGTTCTTGTATTCTTATGCACAAAGCGAACATAGTTGTAGAGGCAGGAGGATTTATTGACGTTGTTGATGGTTGCAGGTGAGAGCACAGAGCCGGGATAAGCAGATAGAAGAAAGGATGCTGTCCCACAGGCAAGATGACAACAACAGGCATGCAACCAGGCATCAGGTACGGCCCTTGTGAAAGCCCTGGCCACTCACAGTTTTGAGAGCCGAGTCTTGGGTATCCTCTGCCCGTGACTGTCTGTAGGTGTATCCCTTGCCTCTTGTTTTCCATGGTATGTCTGAGTAACCGGTCTTTAGTCAAATCAGAATCACATTTGATTTTCAAATAGGAAATGTTCATGAAACAAACACTTCTGCGTCGTAAATGAAGGGATCATGCAATTTATAATAATGGTAATGATAATATTCCTATAAAAGATAATCCTGATTATTTGAAAGATTATACCCGCTGCTCTATTTCCTCATTTTGCATCTACTTTTTAAGCCATTGTAATTTATCTTCAAACCCTTCCTCTCTGCTGGCACGTTTCCAAGATCACCAGTGACTTTTCCTAATATGTGACATTTGTTGATGATGTCCTTTTTTCTTCTACTTCTCTCTTCCCTTGGATTCCAAAATGCTCTTTACCCTACTTCTTCCACCTCTCTGAACATAAATTTCTTGTTTCTCCCTGAATGCCTTTGGTCTCTACTCTTGCTGTGTTTCTGCTCCAAACTCTCTACCTATACCAAGAAGAAGATGTATTTTACCTTCAAGGCCTTGTGCAACTCTCAGCTATTATAGAAATTGTTCCCAAAACTTTTCCTACAATTAGTGAATTTCTTCCTCATGCATTTCCACTGCAGTGTTCTCAGAATGTTAGTTTAGCGCTTGTCACATGTTGTATATACATAGCTTATCATGTGATGTCTGTTTCGTGATTAGATTATAGCTGATAGCAGAGGAAGCATGGTGATGAGGGAAAAGTTTGGCTTTGGAGTCAAACAGATCCGAATTTGAATTCTGTGGTTCTTTTACTCCAGCATTGTGGTCTTGGGCAGGTCAGCTAACTGCCTTAAACTTTATTTTCTTGTTAATAAAAAGGAGTGAATAATACCTACCTGGCAGGGTGGTTAGCTAAATCATGCATAATATGATACCTACCCCCAGTGCTTGACAGGTAATAAGCACTCTGTAAGTCGTAGTTACACTTTCCTTCATTGTCTTGGGTTCTATTCTTACTCAGTTTTTAAATTTTTATTCATTTTTGTATCAGTATTTAGAAAACAGTAAGCTTTCAATAAATCATACTGAATTGAAATGATTTTTATTTTAATCCTTTTGCTTTGGTGGAGACTTCCATCCTTAATTTATGTTCGGGTTAATATTAAAATAAATACAATCAGGGTAGTGGTCTAAGTGCCCAGGACATTTGATTTGGAATTTTTAAATTGCTAATAGCTTTCACAGGGCGGTTGTAACACATCTGACACCTCCCACCCTTATTTTTTTGTTATTTTCACTTTGCAACTAATGCACATGAGTTTTCTTGCTAGCTTAGATCAGTTTTCTTCCTTTTTCCTTTTAGGCACCAACAGAGAGGCAGCTGCGATACAAAGAAAAAGTTGCTGAACTCAGGAAGAAAAGAAATTCTGGGCTGAGCAAAGAACAGAAGGAGAAATATATGGTAAGGAAAAGTTAAGTACTTTAATAGCGTGAACTCCTTTTGGTTTCTAAGCTTCTGTTTTTTAGATTTGCTGTTTGGTGTTCTTTGTAAGTAGAAGGACGCTTCTCTGGCAATTAGAGTTTACTATATCCCCCAAACCAGGCTGGTAAGAGTGGAAGCCAGAGGCCTTCCAAAAGCAAAAGACTTTTAGAATTTAGATGGGAAAAAATGTCCAATCTTGTAGTTGTTTGTAAACTTTAGCTTTAAAGGGTTAAATTTACCCATTCAAACAAATGTTACAATATCTGTATAAGGAAAAATATTCAAGTTAAGCTGTAGTCCACTTATTTTGATGGAAAAATAAAATTCCTACATAATAAAAAGTATTCAGGGATATAGTCTATAAATCTTTCTGTGGTATTTTAAACTTTTTGTTCTAGTTTTAAAATTAATGCACATTTGCAATAGAAAATACAGAACAATTAGGTATACAGAAATACACATTAATCTACTGCCTAAAAATAACTTTAGTTAGCATTCTGGGATGTATCCTAGTTTTTTACATAATGCCTTATTTATATCATTTGCTTATTACTATAAGTACAACTTTGAATTCTGTTTTCACTGAATATCTTGAACTAATTTCCTCATTTTGTTAAAAATTCTTCCAAAATTTTTGTATGAATTTAATTTTAAGTAAAGATTGACTTTATTACAAACCCATGAACAAATGCTTACTGTTGAAAATACCAAAAAAATTGGGGAAGAAAAATTCCAGTAAAAATGACCCTCCCAGATGTAGCATAAACAAACCAGTGTCGGGAGTTTGGCACGTGCGCCCTCAGTTTGTTTCTGAGGGTGTTTTCATTGTTCCAGTGGAGCTGGAAGTCCTTGGAGCAGGTTATTAGGGGTGTGGTTTGTGCCTGCTGAGCAGTCAGCATGGCTTCACTGAGACAAAAACATGCCAGACGGTGCGTGTGCTTTTTTTGGTAGTCATCCGTGTCTTGAAAGGGACCTCATGAATGAACGGAGACGGGTCCGTGTGAGGTGAGGGCGGCTGTGGGGTGGACGAGTCGCTGAGCCCCCACGCCAGGCTGTGTTGGGTTTGTAGAGGAAGGGCTCTCTGGTGGTGGACTGTAGGGTGCAAGGTGGTGTTCTTCTTCCTGTCTCGTTAAAAGTGTTTACCTGTAGGTCGGGCAGAGGTGTGAGGATAAGGTACAGATAATACCATTTACCGAGCGCTTGTGCTAGTGCTGTCGTTCTGTTGCTCCTGTTGTCTGTGTAGCAAAGGTGGATGGTGTTTTACCTGTTTTGTAGATGGAAAACAGGCTGAGAGAGGTAATTTGCCCAGAATCATACAAGTAGAAAGAATGAAGTAAAAGCTCCTGAAATTTATCTTACAAACATCTGCTTTCCAGTAGTTTGAGTGGTTATTTGGATCCAATCTTCCTGGTGAAAATGTTGGGTGGTGTATTTTTTGAAGCTGTAAAAAGAAAGTTTACCATTTATAAGAACTTTTAGAGTAAGTAAAACTAATCCGTAGTGATAGAAAAAAAAGTTCCTGAAACTAGAAGAAATAGGTAATACTTAGAACCTAAATCTTACATGACAGAGTCCACATTCAGAAAGATATCCATCAGATGGGCCAAGGTTAACCATAAGAAATTTTACTAGGAGTAAAGGTACTGGCGAATGGTTTCTTCATGTGCTAATGTGTGTGTGAAATCTATAATGTTCTTCCTGGGACGGGCCATTCACTCCACCTGCCTGCCATTATCTTCTACCCTGTGGGTGGGAGGTGGAGTCTGTGATGGAGTGGGAAGGGCTAGAGTCGGAGTAATTTAAAAGGGAAATTTCCTTTGTGGAATTTCTTTCCTGTGGAAGGATACTTGTAGTGAGTGCCATGGTGAGGTTTGTTAGTTACTTAAAACTGGGCTGTGTCTAGGCTTTTAATTTTCTATGGCTGTTCTCTCTTTTGTTCTTGCTTAATATTTAGTAAAATATTTTTCAAAGAATTGAGCCTGTTTTTCATTTGCACTTGGGCTGAGTTCTAAGTGAGAGCATTGCCATGCCTTCAGCGGACGGTGTAATGGTGCAGCAGTTCAAAGGGAAGAGTTTACAAAAGTCTATTTGTCCAACTGCCCCTTCCTACCTGCAGATTTTCCTTTCAGTCTAAAATCTTAGAATCTAGGCTTAAAGATTGTGTGTGTGTGGTGTTGTTTTTAAGCGGGGAAGTTTATCCACCAGTTTCTTCTAGACCTCAGGAATCGGGAAATCTGGAGTGCCTTTGGGTTTGTTACATTTCATTTATTTGTATTGTGCAAATGGACCCATAGCCATCGGATTCTTGGGTGCTTGTTTGAAGGTAAAGAATGAAACTCCCTTTTGGAGAGGTTGTAAGAACATTGGTGTCTTTCGGCATTAACCTGCCTGATCAGCGGTATGTCTGTTCCAAGACACAGTGCCTAGTGTATTGCCTGGCATATAGTAGGCACTAAAAATATAGCTTGGCCCTCTGGTTGGCATCGTTGAAATGAAATAGATGATGTTCTTAGAAGTGGAGAGAATCATGCTCCGGTTATTTTCCTAGGAACACAGACAGACCTACGGGAACACTCGGGAACCTCTTTTGGAAAACCTGACTAGCGAGTATGACTTGGATCTTTTCCGAAGAGCACAAGCCCGGGCTTCGGAGGATTTGGTGAGTATCAAAGCCTGCAGCCGAGGACCACTGTGACGGGCACTGAGAACTGCCCGGGGAAAATGCTGAGCAGTCAGTTTGATGGGAATTAAAGGTACCTTGCTGCCTGACTCTCCCCTTCCCCCAGCCGCCTTAATTGAGACTGTCTCCCTTCCCATTCATATTTAAAATTAATTACCCCTCCTCCTTTCCCTCAACCCTTAGAATTTTTTCCCTCCATCTCAATTCCTGGAAGGACCTGTTTGGGGATGGGTAGCCAAATAAAACGATAGGTGCCCCTTGGTGTCAGTTGAGTCATTTGCAATTCTGAGAACCTGTAGTCTGGGAGATACCCCCTGTTGTTCTCTTAACCCAAACAGGAACCCCGCTTTGCAGGGCTGCCTCAGCCCTCCCGTGCAGCTATGAAAGCATTAAAAAAATAGCGAGTAGGAGTGATGGGAAAGGCTCTTGTCAGATACTTTAGAATGAATGTTTCACACATCCATGTGTTACATATTAAGTTGATTTTCTCTTCTGATTTTTATTTACAGTTCATTAACGTTTAGTTTTGATACTCCAGGCAGAATTTTTTTCAACAAGTGTACTTAATGAGAACTGTGATTGATTAAATGTGCTCAGGGAATCTCTGTAAAGTGAATCTCTCTTTTTAAATTGTATTGAATACTTACTTCATTTAAAAATCTCCGAATAGGCTTGTTGAAAGTTTTGTAGGCACCAGGGCTTGCTCGCTGTCTTGGCTGGGATGGGCTGGTACTGCTGGTTTTCTCTCTACCCGGGAACCAGAACGTCTCCTAGGCTAACCTTCCTCAGTGATCCACCTGGTTGTGCCTAGAAATGATTTCTAAAGGACCTAAGTTGAGAGGGTGGGTCAGTGTCATGCAGGCCCGCACAGCTTTGTAAAACATTCTGGAGACGTGTAAAGCACATTCTAGATCATCTTTTCTGTTTAGTTTTAGAATGTTTTGTAAAACTAGGTATTTATATTTGCAGTAGATTGTGTTTTATAATTCAGTGTGGTTCAGGCTGACAAAAACACAATTTATCCAGCGACTGGCGAAGTTAAAGAGATGAGAGCCTGGGCATGGAAGGTAGCAGGGAACAGCCTTTCCTTACTGAGGCCTGTACTGGGCCTCCCTGGTTGTCCCCATCCATGCCGCCCTCTTCGATTTCTCGGGAGTTTAGAAGCCAAACGTGCTTTGTTCTCCCCATAGCCTAGCATGGTGACCCACACACAAGCTTCCAAAAAAAGAAAACAAAGACGATTATAGTTCGTACTTGAACGACATGGGTTTGAACTGCACAGGTTTATTTAAATGTGGATGCTTTTCAGTAAATACTGCAAGTGTATTTTTTCTTTTCTCTAGCTTGTGTTATTGTAACGCTATAGTGTATAACATACAAAACGTGTTAATCGACTGTTTAGGTTATCCATAGGTACCCATAAGGCTTCCAGCCAACAATAGGGTATTTGTATTTTACGTTTTGGCAGAGTCAAAAGTTACGTGCTGATTTTCAGCTGCACGGGGGGGCGGGGCTTTTCCCTCTAACTCACCGTGTTGTTCCAGTGTGCACTGCCATCTGATTCTCCTTTGACTTTTGATTTCTTCTCTACAATAGGAGAAGTTAAGGCTACAAGGCCAAATCACAGAGGGGAGCAATATGATTAAAACAATTGCTTTTGGTCGCTATGAGCTTGACACCTGGTACCATTCTCCCTATCCTGAAGAATACGCGCGACTGGGACGTCTCTATATGTGTGAATTCTGTTTAAAATACATGAAGAGCCAAACGATACTCCGCCGACACATGGTGAGTTGTCTGGGGTTCCATGACCGTGGTTGTAGTAGGCTATGGGGTCTCTAACTGTTGGCATCAGTCTGGGTAACATTTATCCAAGCATCTCTCAGCGGTCCACAATAATGGGATGAAGGCACAGGGAACTGAAAGCCACATTTCAGGGTGATGCAGCCTGTGGTGTGGCTGGTGCTGCTGGGTGGCACCTCCAGCAGCTGATGGCCCTGAACCACGTCCTGTCCTACATCTCCCTGTCTTTTTTCTTGCTGCCTGCTCTTTTCTGTTTCTTCCTATGGACATGAATGATCTCTGCCCTTAGTTGTTTTGTGTCCCAGAATAGACAAAAATAACTGGTGGCTTCTCAGGTTCAGTCCTTTTTGGTTTTATTGTTGACCAATAGGCTTACTAGATGTTTTGTACCTTTAAGCTATCTTTCTTTCCCTAGTTGTACAATGGAAAGTCTTAAAGGGACTTTCTGCCATGGATTAGGGGTGGGGAAATAGTACGGGACAGAGATGAGTCTTTCCGGAGGGAGACCTTTCTTTTTTGTGTCTGTCGTCATAATCTGGCTGTAAGGCTTTTTAGGGGCCTGTTCTCCTTCCGTCTTTACTTCCCGGGATTTCTGTGTTCTGAGCCTCTGTAGTGTAGGCTTCCCGTGGTTTCTGTTTTACACTCCTTCCCCCCAGTTTGGTGATTCTGCTTTTGTGGGTGCCCAGCTCAGGAGCGCACGGTCTGCGGCGCCGTGGCCCAAACCCGCTCCTGTGAACGAAGCCCTTCAGGCTGTGGTGCACTTGATCTGTGGTGAGGGCAGAGCGCCGGCGGGGAGGTGGCGGCAGAGACCGCTGGGGCGCGGGGGCGCAGGCTGGGGATGTGAAGGACCGGGCTCCGTGGCTGCAGACCACGGAGATCCACTAGGTTGCGGTTTTACAAGTGAGGCTAGTGTTTTTATTTTTATGGCTGTGAACTGCTTACCGTTCCTGCCCTGTGTCTTTTTGTTTCTGGTTATTTGGTGGCACTAACCAGGAAGACAGCCCAAGGGGCAGGAAAGAATAGTAGGTAGAGAAGAGAAAGGGTCTGGATAAGTCTGAGGATCAAGTGAACATTCTGAATTTTTGAGGGTCGACTGTATTATATGAGTTAAAAAAAACAAATTTTAGGAAATAAAAACCTATTTTAAATCCATACTTCTGATTCCTGTTGTGTAATTGCTGAAATGGACCTTCTTTGGCCATCTGGCTAATAGTTTTGGCTTGTGTTTCTAAACAAATAATTGTGTTAGTTTGGCTACTGTTGGGAAAAGCCACATGACTAAAGGGCTTCTGACAGGGACAAACGATAGGTGGAACTTTCTTGAAGAAATCCTGGTTGACATTTGGATTTACATGGGACAGATTAGGTCATGACTCTTGAGTTGATCAAAAGGCACAATGAGCCCTGGCTGGTGTGGCTCGGTGAATTGAGTGTCCCTCTGCGAACCAGAGGCTCACCTGTTCAGTTACCGGTCTAGGGCACATGCGCGAGTTGTGGGCCAGGTCCCCAGTGGGGAGTGTGCAAGAGGCAACCACACGCTGATGTTTCTCTCCCTCTCTTTTTCCCTCCCTTCCTCTCTCTAAAAATGAATAAATAAAATCTTTTCTTTTTTAAAAAAGGCACAATCAAATTTAATAGAAAATGCTCTGAATATATACATATGCTTTTGAAATGTATTTACATAAAACCTTTAAAGAACTCACCAAATAGCAGTGATTTTTCAACCAGTGTGTTGCAAGAGTTTTTTAAAACAATGCAGCCCCTGACTATTTAGTCAGGGGCAGTGACTTCTTTTCCCTTAGATCTTCAAATTAAAAAAAACCCACAACAGCCAACACAACAATGGCCATAGAGTGTGAATGCCTTGTCTTGAACCGTAAATATGTAGGTCATATAATAGAGTTGCTCTTATTGGTCATGTCACATAATGTTGCATCTGCTTGGTTGATTTTTGGTACCAAAAATCCTTGTTTAGAAATATAGACACCTGATTTTTTAAAAAGCCACTTTGGTGCAAAAAGGGATAATTACTAGTTTATTTTTGTGTAAATCAATCAAAATTATACCCTTTTTTTTTTGGTCAGATTGGCAAACAATACATTTTTGGTGTGCCACAGAACTTGAGTAATTTATGTGTGCGGTGAGATATGAAAAGTGGTGAAAATCACTCATTTACTGCAATGGCTGACTGGCTGCTTTAAATCTATTAGCACTTGAGAGTAAGGAGAGGGGTATCTTGTGCCCCCTTGTGGCCAAGCGCCCCTGGGACACTGCCCATCCCAGCTTCTGCTCAACCCGGATGCCTTGCCTCTTCCCAACCCGTCCTCCCCCCACAGAAGGACTTGCTCCTATTTTCTTATATAATGAAGGGGAACACTGGGGGCAACCGGAGAAGTTACTGGTGAAGGTGAGAGTAAAGCGCTCCTCTCTTTACTTAGCAACTCTAAGCTGCTTGAAATAAGCTGCTTAAGAATTTCCTGTTGTCACAAGGCATTTTCTAATAAGCAAGGGTATTTTTTTGTTTATCTGGCTTTTACGTAGTAGATGGTTTTAATCTCCTGGATTGAAATGATGCCAGAATATAATCCAGAAGACTTGTTCCAAACTGCTAGAAAATATCATAAATATATTACAGTGATTTAGAAGCCTTAGGTTGTTTTACTTAAAAAAAGAAACCTGTTTTGCTGCTTGTTCTCGAGTGTGCGTCCAACTGCCTGTCATCTCGGCTGACTAAATTTGACCCGCGGTTCTTTCCCCCTTTTGCACAGCCACCTCGTCGGGAAGGCCCGTTCCCCTGATGTGAATTCCATTCTCTTGCAGGCTAAGTGTGTGTGGAAACACCCGCCCGGCGATGAGATCTACCGCAAAGGCTCAATATCCGTGTTTGAAGTGGACGGCAAGAAAAACAAGGTACAAAGCCGGGCCCTAGAACGGAGGGGCGGTGGGTAGTGTTGTACTCGGACAGCTTCAGAAGGAATTTGCTCTGCGTCCATCTCACCTTGTAAAGAATGTAGAGTTCTCCTGTTGGCCAAAACACACAATCTCTGCTTCATTAACAATAATGACATGACCTTTAACTTTAGGCCCTTATCTCGTAAGTTCAGGAATCGCTGGCCTACAGATGAACTCTCTTTTTTTTTTCTGCTTGTAGATCTACTGCCAAAACCTGTGCCTGTTGGCCAAGCTTTTTCTGGACCACAAGACATTGTATTACGACGTGGAGCCCTTCCTGTTCTATGTTATGACAGAAGCGGACAACACTGGCTGTCACCTGATCGGATATTTTTCCAAGGTCAGCAGGATCTGGACGTTAAGAAGCTAATACCAGTCGGAGCAGGGTGCCTGGCACTGGCTCCCGGGGACTCAGAGCACTGGCAGGAAAGTGCAGTGTTCTGGACGACCAGGGCAGCCCTTCCCTTTAAAAAGGGGGAAAAAAAAAAAGGAAAATCCATATCAAAGATTGTTTAATGAAAATGTGCCATTCTTTATTAAAAGCTTCTGGTTTATTCATTTCTGGATTGTGGGTTGGAGCTGCCTATTAATTACTGGCCAGTGCCCTGCCTTCTGACCCGCAAGCCCACGTCTTGTAGTCAGGCCAGCTGCTCTGACCCAGTCCCCTGCTCTGTTATTAGCTCAAAACCAGGAATATTTTCCTTCTGCCTTTTTCTTAAGCCGGGTTCTTTCAATGATAATACCACAGTGCCTTTAAAGACTCGAGGCCAGACTGTGCTGAAGACTTTTTAATGTAACAACCAACTTTATTGAAATATAACTCCTATACTATATAGTTCACTCATTTACATTGAAGTGTGTGGTGGTTTTTGGTACAGTCACAACTGTGCAACTCCTGCTCATCACCACATCGATTTCCGGTACCTCAGTGAGAAGGCCGGTACCTCCAAGCAACACTCGGCTATTTTCACTCGACCTCCTGTCTCTGAATTTGCCTGTACTGGACATTTTGCATGCCTTGGAGCCATATAATAGGTGTTTTTGACCTCCTTTCAGAATGCGGGCTTGCTGTTTCAGATCCCTCCCTTCTTCTGTAGGTAGCCCCCCTTTTGAAAAATTGCTTTTAAAGAGGGCTACTGTAGACTGGCTATGCAATCTAATCATTTTTTCCCTGCTCTGTGACTATAGAGAACCCAGAGTCAGCCCCCCTTGAGATGAGACTGGAGGTCTCAGCTAGGAAACCCTTGGATTAATGGCTTCAGCCATCTTAAAGGGTGTGTCACAGCTGTGAGCTGGACAGCCACTCCCAGGACTGGTTAGCCAGATACTTTGCAAGCAGCCTTAGTTTGTGTCTGTAGGACTGCTGACACCTTTGGTTCTAAACCCGCATGACCTGTTCATCTGTTTGTTCTTGATTTTAGGAGAAGAATTCATTCCTCAACTATAATGTATCCTGTATCCTTACCATGCCTCAGTACATGAGACAGGGCTATGGCAAGATGCTCATTGATTTCAGTAAGTGAAACTGCCCAGCTCCACGTGGCGGGGACCGAGTGAATACTGCTGCCTTTTTGTCCCGTAGTCTCTACAAGTCCTGGCTTTTAGCTGGTGTATATTGATGTAAAGTGAATAAGTGGGCAAAACCTGAACATCATCAATTAGCCTCATACACAGTGACTACTCAGTGAATACAAGGCCTTCAGCCCGGGGCCTGGCAGTAGGCAGTATGGAGGGAGTGCAGTCAGCTTGCTAGGATGGTTCCAGTTTGAGACTTATGACCAGCACGTGTGCGCATAAGGTCTTCCGGTCTCCTGGATATTAAGGACTTCATCTTCATAAGGACTTTTCTGGAGGCAACCGGGATACCTGCTAAGAGGCTTTGAACCCCATTAATTGTGGCTTCTGTATCTGGGAATTTGCCTACTCACTACAATTTTATTTGTAACCTCAAAAGCAGTCCTCTTGGCCCTTGGCTGTCATTCGTGGATATGTGCACAGCAGCAAAAAATAAGTCACACATTTCCAGCAGAGGTCAGACGGGGTGCCTTGTGTCGGCTCTCTTAGTGTAAACAAGTGTTCTTTCCACGGTCCATTAGTGCTGTGTTTTTCATATTTTTGTGCTTTTTGTTGCTGCTTTTAAATGGTCCCTAAGTAGAGTGCTGAAATACTGCCTAGAAAGGCTTTCATGTGCTTTACAGAGAGAAAATATGTGTTAGGCTTTGCTCAGGATAGGTTATTGTGCCGTCGGCTGTGAAACCAATTTTACTATGTGGACAATAAGTATTAAACAAGGTGTTGTTAAACAGAAATACACAAACAAGGTTACACACTGATTGGTTGATGAAAATGTGACCAGGGGCTTGCAGGAGCCCAACTCTGTTTCCCTAGGAGCGATGGTTCATTGTTCACTAAGTCAGTATTTGCAGAGACCTTACAGAACTGGACTGCAGTCAGTAACAACCATCAGCTGTATTGTGTTCACTGTCGCTCGGCATATTTTGGTCAAAATTAGAATTCATAGAGTTCTGAGGGAAGATCATGTATCTTTAATAGGTAGCACCTATTTTATAAACTTGATTTTGTGGAAATTTTAAAACATACAAAAGTAGAGTAATAGTATAATAAAGCTTCCTTAATAGTTACCATTTTATGGCCAATCTTGTTTTACCTATGTTCCCACCCTCAATTATTTTAATATTTCTAAGAGGTCCTAAAACACAGAAAAAGACCAAAAATTGTTCTTAATATCATAAATTACAGTGCTTATATTATCCTGATACTGTGATTTTGTTCTTTAGGAAAAAAATACTACTTTTAGTCAGATTCCTATAGAATTGATGTATTGGGATTGGTAGATTTGGCTTGTAAGACATTTTTAATCTGCAAGTTCCCACTCCGTATCTTTTTTTTCTTTGCTATTTATTTGTTGAAGGAAGCAGCCAGGTTTTCCAGTGGTTTCCCAGCCTGTGAGTTTTACTGACCGTGTCCCCATAGTGCTGGGTGGTGAGTGTTTGGATGTTAGAACGAGAGGCTTCTTCAGATTTGAGTCCCCCAACTGTTTCATAGGTAGTAGCAAGATAATCTGTTCTTTATGTTTTTCCCTTCTGAAAGCAACTTTGTTGAGGTATAATTTACACAGCGTACGCTCATCCATTTCAAATGTGCAATTTGGTGACTGTTTGCACTTACAGAGTTACGCAGTCATCCTCCCAGTCCAGGTTTAGGTTTTCATCTTCCTCTACAAAAAACTCATGCTTACTAGCGATAATTAATTCCCCATTTCCCTCTCCCCCCACTTCTAGGCATCTACTAACCTACTTTTTAAGAAATACTTTAAACTTTTCAATTACAGTTGATATTAGTCTCAGGTGTACAACATTGTTATGAGACATTTACATAACTTAAGAAGTGATCGTCCCAGTAAGTCTGGTACCCATGTGATACCAGACATAGACATAGTATTGCAGTGCTGTTGGCTAATGTACTTCCTGTCTCTGTGAATTTCCCCATTCTGGCCATTTCATGTAAATGGAAGCACATAGCGTGTGCCCTTGTCTGTGTGGCTTCTTTCCCTCGGCATGAGGTTTTCAAGGTCCATCCATGTTGTGGCATGTATGAGTACTTTGTGCAAGACTGTCTTTACAGCATTGAAAGATACAGCATGAATGACTGATGGTGACACATCTCTCTCAGCTCTTCATCTTTAGAGGTTTGTCCTTGAAAATCTTTTTAAGGTAATTGGATTATGGGTCATATTAAGGGAAGGCAGCGTCAGGACTACTAGATCTTCAGAAAAAACTCATCAGGTCCTTTACCAGTTTATCCAAGGATACGACAAGGATGTGTACGATGTGTGAATATCCAAGCAGAAGGGATGCACTGGGCGAGGAGCGAGGGAGGGCAGAGTTTCCACACCCTCCCCAGGCTCACCTTGCTCCTTGTGCCTCCATTTGTTCACCCACCCCGAAGCTGTGATGATCTTTTAAAGTTCAAAACTTGGGAAGTGAAAGCTATATAATGAAGTGGCTTCCCTACCCTGTTCCCAGCACATACCTACAGCTAGTCATTGCTATTCAAGCTTCTGGTGAAGCCTTCCAGAGTTTCTTAATGTCTATGAAAGTAAGTGCAAGTGCACGTCCTCCCCGCTCGCTTACACAAAGACAGCATATTCTACCACAGCTACGTAGTGTTCCACTGAACGAATAAGATGGACTGAACCCTAACTGGTACTGCAAAGTACTGTGCTTTTTATACCTTCTTCCATGTTGGCACATTGTTCTTTTCTAATAGGATGAGATACGGTGTTGCTAAGGGGGGGGGGCGGGGGGACACCAAAAACTGTTTATTCCCTGGCAGGTTATTTGCTTTCCAAAGTGGAAGAGAAAGTTGGCTCCCCGGAACGTCCACTGTCAGACCTGGGGCTCATAAGCTACCGCAGTTACTGGAAGGAAGTGCTGCTGCGGTACCTGCACAATTTCCAAGGCAAAGAGATTTCTATCAAAGGTTGGTTTTTGACTCTAGAATGGTGGTTATCCAAGATGCAAACGCCACTGGATATCTTGACTTTTCCACTTGGCCCCGTTCATGCTTTATAACCTGCGAAGATAATGCCCCGTTCTGTGTTCTGTCTGAATATAACACGAGGCCCACTGAGCCTGGGCCGCTGCAGAGACCCTTACCGGCGCCTGGGCGTTCCAGAGCACTTGGCTTGTGGGACTGGTTATATGATTTGGTTTCTCAAATCTCAGGTTGTGGTAGCATTTTAATTGTTTTTTAAAGATTTTATTTATAGCATTTAAATTCTTAACAAACATTTAGAAATGAAGAAAAACTTGCAGTCTTTCAGCACATACAGAAGCTTCTAAAACATCACTGTGTGTTTATGCAAAGGTAGAAGAATTTAACGATATGTCTTTGACCTTGATTTCTGTAAGGGCTGAGAGTGGTTTCTTGCTGTAACAACTGTCTTCTGCAGTTATTGGGACTGGTTGAAGGAATGCTTTGTGAACTTTTTCTGAGCAGGTTGGGTTGAGTAGCAAGGGCTCCAAGTCTCTGGAGTTCATTTGGACATCCTGTAAGGGGGGGAGCTGGGGGAGGGGGGGCCTGATAAGAGTCTACACTTTTGGCCAGGTTCTCAGTAGCTGTTCTCTTTCAGAAATTAGCCAGGAGACAGCTGTGAATCCTGTGGACATTGTCAGCACTCTGCAGGCCCTGCAGATGCTCAAGTATTGGAAAGGAAAGCACCTAGTTTTAAAGAGACAGGTAAAGTTTTTGTCAGCTACTTGCTCATTGCTGAAGGTCCCTTTAAGCCTAGCAGAGCAAAGAGGGGCCTTAACATTCTAAAGGTAAACCTCCCTTCTTAAAGGAGTCTGGCTACGTGCACCTTCTTATATGGTCTCATTTCTGTAGCGTGCAGTGATGCCCCAACCTTATCCTTATTGGAGCTTTCGGTAAGCTCTGTCTCGTTGGGGTGGTGCACGTTAAGCGGCTCTAGCTGAGCAGGCAGCTGTGTGTTGTACGCATCTGTCGTTCAGAGATCTTCTCAGATTACAGAGAATTGCCCATCTGTAGAGGGGAGTGAACTCTAGGCTGGTGGAAGTGGTTTTAAATTCCTTTAAGAAATGCCATCTCAACTTAAACACATTTAAAGTTTTTTTATAGTTGACTCACACTTATCATTAGGGAAGGTGGATAATGGTTTTCAGGTCTTGCTGAGGGTGCCGTAGAAAGAAATGGATTCGTAAGTCAAAGATCTTTTTTTTTTACACCTTAGCAGAGTATTAAACCTTTGGTGATTCCTTCTTTGCTAACATTCATTTTGGAATTCATCTAGAAAGCCATTTTAGTGGAATGTGTGTAACAGCTTCCCCACTTTCCTCCTCTAGGACCTGATTGACGAGTGGATAGCCAAAGAGGCCAAGAGATCCAACTCCAACAAAACCATGGATCCCAGCTGTTTAAAATGGACCCCTCCCAAGGGCACTTAAAGTGACCTGTTACTCTGAGCCAGCGAACCCCAGCAGTAGGAATCCGTACCCTAGGGATCTGCCTGTCATTTCTGTTGCTCCTGTGATTGGCAAGTACAGTGTCCTTTGGGAAGGCCACCCCCTCAGGACTGTCCTGGCTCCGACCTTCATGCACACTGCAGACGCTGGTTCTGAGGAACTGTTGTTTCGGCCTCAGTGAGGTTGCCCGGATGGGATCTATGTTCGACCGGAGTGCAGGTCCCCCGCAGCACTGGCCCCCGGTGTTCTGTGTGCACCGTACCTGTCCGGTCGCCGCTTCTCTCCTCCTGTCCTCTTGCCCCATGAGGTTGTGTGGTGTCTTCTGAACCCTGTCATAGTGCTTCTGCCGCCTCGTCACCAGACCTCCAAATATAGTTGCCACTACCGGGACCTTTCCAATTATTCCTGACATGTGTTTTTTGGATGGGCAGGGAAGAGGTAACATTTCTGTGTGTGTGTGCACCGGGGCGGGGGCGGGGGGGTCTCTTCCCTTTGGGTCTCATCTCACTTTAAATATTTTCCTCCATTTTAATGGAAAGACCTGTTTTGACCAGTGTCAGGCTGACCAGAGCCACACGTTTCGGAAGTCCCACCCTGGGATCAGTCTCGGTAACGGCACGTCATCTCTCTGAATGAGACAGAGAGAAGTAGGAGGCGGTGATTCTGTATTCTGTGCCGAGTTCACCGGAGGGCAGTGGGCCATGTCCTGGTGGAAGGGAATGAACACTTTTTACCTCACCAGAAAGCGCCCGGTAGTAAATGTCTTCTTCCCACCTTGCTTCCTGCCCCTTTCTGTTTGCAGGTGCCAGATAATTTCAGTTAGTTCTCCCTTTCATGCTGCACGTTAACCGGTTCGTTAACTGCGCAGCCCTTTTCACCAGTACCAGCCTGACCCCGCACACCCGTGCTTCCACGGAAGTTGCACTGATTTCATCCGGCACCCTCGGAGAAGTGGAAGCTGATTGAGAAGTGTCTCAGCCCCTTCTCTTTTCAGCAGTGCCTCGCCCTCCTCCCTCCAGGGCCGACGTGTGTGTGCCCTTCCAAGAGCTCCGCCTCCATCCATTCCCTCTGTGGGGTTTGCCACGGCCCCTGTCCTCTGGTCTCCTGTTTTTGGTATTTCAGTGAAAGAAGAGATGCTCCCTCTGATTTTGCTCCAGCCCTTTATAACCTGCTATCCCGGGGCAGCTTTTGATGTATGACATGTCGCCCTTCCCGACTTGGTCGCCTCCACCACTGCTGTCTTCACGTGGAGCCCTCGCCACAGTCCCGACTCTGGTCATTTGTGCCTTTCTCTCGTCGTCTCTGTACACTACTCACACTCCCGTGGGGTGGGGGAGCTCGTTTTAAGCATGTTCGGTGGCAGCACCCTGCCAGTTTTAGCGTCACTTAAAACTTACCCAAAAGCGACTTCACTGGGGGTTTTCTTAAGGGGTGAAGGCCTTTTACAGAAGCTGACCCTTCCCCACACGTGGTAGAATGTGCTGTTCTGTATCTACTCCTCAATAAAGCATGTTCTCTGCTCAAGTCTGTCTCAGGAGTTCTCGTTTGTTGTGCAAACGGCGCGGCTGACCTGCCTGCTAGTAGGCAGTGCGCTCGGGTTCCTTTCCCCTCGCTGTAAGCTGTCTGCTGAGGGATGCCGTCTGTGGCTGGGAGTTTGTTTCTCGGATGCAGGCCGTCTGTAGAGGGTGTGTTTACTCTGGGTTTGTCTAGGTGGTGGAATACATTCTTCCTCGCTTTGGTTCCACAAGAGCTAGTCAGTATTATTCACTCTTTCATTGAGTTCATTCTCTGATTTCAAGGGCAAAGGAACCAACCAGCAGGAAGTTAGAGTAGGTGGGGTACAATTGATACTTGTGGGAAGGTGAAAACAGGTCTATCCCTTCTTATCTCTGAGCTCAGGAGCCAGTGGCAAGCTGTATCGCCTCTCAGGATCGCTGCCTCTACGGTTGCATCATTTCTGAGAGGAGCTGTATGTTTCCCGCAGCACTTGCCCAGTGCCAGGAAAGGGAGGTCGGGCACATCTCTAGAACGGAAAGGAGGTGTATCTCTGCGGGCACCCCCTTCTTTGCAAGGATAGAATCCTGGATGTCACTCGCAGGGCTTAGGGGCTGATATGAAGAAAAGCAAGTTTGTAAAAAGCCCCTTAGCGTTGACCTTAGAATGATGTGTGCCCAGCGCTCCCTGTTCTGGATGTTTGCATCAAAGGGAATTAGGCCCTCATGTTTTGGAAACCTTGAAGTGGGTAACAATGGACCGTGAGAATGGAATGCTGGGAGGTCAAGGCACTTAAAGATTTGTGCATATCTAGGTCCTCAACCTCTACAGATTGCCACCCGTCCTCCCTTCACCTAAGAACACGGTGAGTTCCCACTTAACGTCATCAGTGGGGTCTGTGGTTTTCAGTGATGTTTAGCAAGACCAGCCTCCATAGGCTAATCGATACAGAGGAGTTAAACAGTGGCATCTAATCACCTTCAAACGATGTAAATCAAGGAGGTATTTACTGTAAAAGGAAGATTTCTCTGGTTTAAATCACAGATACAGGACCAGGGGGGTACACTCTCAACTTTTCAGTAAGACGTCTCCCCTCCAACCCTTACTTTACCTGCACAAGTAAGCTCGGCTGCTTGGGCTCCTTTGTTGGAAGAGAAGCCTGCAGTTACTCCTGGGTCTGACTCCTGAAACCCTCCGAATGAAAGCACTTCATGCCTGGGGGAGGGAGCGAGCCCAAGCCCTGCCGTGTGCTGGGTGCTTTCAGCACAGTGCTGGCTACCTTCATGCTGCCCCATGTGACCTCCCTGCCAGCCGTTTTGCAGAAGGAAACCTGGAACCCCGGGTGACACAGTCAGCAATGATGCCAGCAATCTCATTCTGGTCTCAGTTGAAAGCCCCACCCTCGCCCCTACCATTTGTTTTCTCAGCTTTCTTGATTCTCCAGGGATGAATCATCTCTCCTAGTTAGATCCCCTTGCTGTACCTACAGGCTCCCATGCTTCTTCTAGTGGCTTCCACTGCAAGGCAAATATTGAAACGGGTGAAAACTTCCAGACAAAAGACCTGACTTTGGTTGACACTCTAAGCAGCAGTCGGGGGCCAGACACCTAAATGAGGAAGCAGAAGCTGTGCCTCATTCTGGCTCTGCTGCTGATTCAGGAATAAGGTCAGCACTGTCCTGTCACGGCACGATACCCTCCAGTCCTCACCACACCGCCGCTGTAAGGTGGGCAGTTTTTAAAAATTAATTTTTTAGAGGGCGAAGGGAGAAACATCCGTTTGTTTCACTTATGCACTCATTGGTTGCTTCCTGTATGTGCCCTGACTGGTGATCGAGTCCACAGCCTTGGCCTGTGTTGGGACGGACGCTCTAACCAACGGAGCCCCCCGGCCAGGGCTAAGGTGGGTATCGCATCCTTTTCCACGTAGGAAGATTTGAGGCTCTGAGGCCTTGCTGCTGAGATGTAGGGGCAGAACGAGAGCCCTTGCTTCTCTGGTCCCCGATTCCCCACTCGACAGTGCTGCTGCGAGTCACCCAATGGCCCCTGTGCCCGTTTTCCCACTCTCACCAGGGAGTGATGAGTCATGAGTCGTTTTTGACAATATGGCGTGCCCTGTATATAGCAAGATGATGCTTTTGACTGGTCCTCAGCTTTGGTTTGTCCCTGTAGTTCTGGGCGGGTCACCTGGCTAGGGTTAGGAGTGCCCTCAATTGGAGTTCATGTGAAGCCAGTTCCGATCAAGGTTGGGACTACATGTGAAAAGCCAGTGTAGAAAACCAGACCACGGCCTACAGCACACACTTCCTACAGGAGTATGCAGCGAACGGAAAAGGCCTTTTTGGATGCATATTGTACTAGCGACTTCCAGGGTAGCTGTAAACGTCCCTGTCTTCCTTTGAAGAGCAATTGATAAGTCAAATGACATTCAAGAAACTTGGGCCCTGTTGGGAACCGCCCTAACCTGCTTTGTTTAGAATGCTCTCAATTAACTGATAAGGGTCCAAGCAAGAAGTAAATTTGTTCCTCAAAGTTTTTTACAGCTCTTTAGCTATCTGACCCTGACTCAAAATAGGCCCTCAGAGTTCCTTGTTATTTGATCCTTACTTCCCGCCTATGATTAATGAGCTTTACCTTGAGTTCCTGTGTAAATGAACCCAATGAAAGCCCTTGAGGAAAAGGCTCTTGGCCCTTCTCCTGTGAGAGAGCGGCCTCCTTTCCTCCCCAAGCAGATCGTGTCTTGGTAGACTTACTCTCACCCGTGGTGGCTGGGGGCGCCCTGCAGGCGGAGCCCCCCCCCCCGGCCCCCCCCCACACACACAGGGCCCTGGCTGGTGTGGCTCAGTGCCGGCCTGCAAACCAAAGGGTCACTGGTTCAGTTCCCTGTCAGGGCACGTGCCTGAGTTGCAGGCCAGGTCCCCAGTAGGGAGTGTGTGAGAGACAACCACACATTGATGTTTCTCCCCCCCTCTCCCTCTCCCTCCCTCTAAATAAAGTCTTTTAAAAAAAACAGGTTATGACAGGTGCTAAGATCAAGCAGCAAAGCTCAGCAGTGATCCTTGCTTTCAAGAATCTTAAGTATTGGGTCTTCTTTTAAATGCACAGAATGTGCACATTTGCGTGTACTTGAAACATTGAGCCCTTGAAATCCATTCCTGGACTGAGGTGAAGAAATCAGAGGCCCTGGTTTGAGAATCCACGTCCTGCCTACCTTCACGCACGGCAGGGCCCTCGGCCAGTCCTTGGTGTGCGCAGGCTCAAATAACCTCCCGCAAGTGGGGGGCATGATAGCTAGGGAGAAGCCTGGCTCGCTGGCTCTCAACACGTTTCCTTCATGGCCTCACAGGTGCACAAAACACTTCAGGGGGTTTGCCTGTTGGTGAGAAGAAACCAAGTGCCAGGAATTCTAGAATTTTAGAAACTACCTTCAGCTATGCGTTGGAATCATGGAATCACAGAATCGGATCTCCACTGGTTTTACATCGGCACTTCTTGCTGCAAACTTGTACGACAGCCTCTCCTCCAGACCGTTTCCTACCGTTGGGGGCAGTGTAATTGGCCACTTCCTTTGTGGTATCTTCAATAAAATGCCAATAAAGGTTGCTGAGCGGGGAAGAAAGGACTGCCCGCTGGTGAGCGATGCCCCCGCTGCTGGCATGGCAGTTGGCCTTCTGCCCTGAGTGGTCCCTGCAGATACAGGTCACGCTGCCCCTGCTGTGGGGTGGGGGTGGGGGGTAGGTTTGTGCCCGCACGTGGAGAAAATAGCGTGCTATTGCACAACTATGGCTCCGGTACCCTCTCAGATGTTCTCTGTGAGAGAGAAACACCTCTGTTCTTGACACCACGTCGTGTTCATTCCAAGAAGCCAGTCTTTCTTAACTGGGTGTTTTGTTTTTTTACATTTTATTTATTTTTAGAGAGAAGGGAAGAGAGGGAGAAAGAAAGAAAGGGAGAGAAACATCAATGCGTGGTTGCCTCTTGTGTGCCCCGAACTGGGGACTTGGCCTGCAACCCAAGCATATGCCCTGACTGGGAATTGAACCAGCAACCCCTTGTTTGGCAGCCCATACTCAGTCCACTGAGCTATACCAGCCAGGGCTTAACTGGGTGTTTGTTTCTGGGAATAACTCACTTCATATTTATTCCAAAGTTATTAGAAACCTATGCTCTTGGTAGATCATCTCGAGTGTGGGCTGGACTTTTGACTAATTAATTAAATGTGGCAAAGTAATATTTTGGAAGTTTCTACTTTTGCTCTTGGAAACCAAGTTATGAGTATCTTTTGTGAGGGACCGTATAGGGGAGAAACCCCGTGTAGGAGAATGGAGGTGCTGCAGCCAACAGCACCAAGACTGCACGTGCCAGCCGAGTGTGGCCTCCCACGTGGGCCCTGCTGCTAGACAGCTCGTGAAGCAAAAGGAGCAGCCAGGGGGGCCTGCGCCCTAGAGAACTGTGAGCAGTGCTGCTTTAGGAGGCAGTGGGTAAGGGAAGGACCAGCCCTGTTGGAACCAAAGGGCCGGTGCTCACTCTGGCCTGTTAACACTTGCCTGTGATTAGAAGCCAGAGGTGCCCAGGCAAGGGACACTATTCATATTCCAAATACTGGCACCCTCAGAGCCACTTCATTCAGAATATCTCAGCTTGTCAGTCAAATTGCTTCTGAGCTCCCTGCCTGGCCTTAGATAATTCTTGGCTACCTCCTTATGGAAGTGGATAAGGGAAAGTGACCACCCTGCTCTTGAGACATGGCTCATCACCTTCCTACTCAAGAGTGGACATGGGCCTGGCCAGTGTGGCTCGGTTGGAATATTGTCCCGTGGACCAAAAGGTCATGAGTTTGATTCCTGGTCAAGACACATCATCCCAAGTCGAGGTTTGATCCCCTGGTTGGGGCCCTGTGAGAAGGTGGCCGATCGATCCCTCTCCCTTCCTCTCTAAAAGCCATGAAAAAATGTCCTCGAGAGGGGATTGAGGGGGAAAAAAAGAATTGGACATGACTGCCTGTCGCTCATTGGGTTAAGTTCACGTTCTGGCTTTCCAGTCTCCGTGAGCAGACTGAGTCTACACAGCTTCCTCTCATCGCCCCTGCGCACAGCTTCCCTGGGCAGCTAGATGGGTCTCTGCCCCTCTGCTGTGTCCACTGGGAAGCCTTCCACCGCCGCGCTCCCCCGAGTGCGTCCCCTCAAACACAAAGCACAAGGGGCGCTTGGAAAACACCGAGTTTAAGTTGGATATCGGCGTGTGTCTTGACTTCGGGGTCTTTCCAAACCTTCCTCTTGCCATTTCCATGAAGGAGAACGCAAGGTCTCCTGGAGTGATTTGATCTGAGAGGAGCCTCTTGAGAAACCAGTATGCCCAGGCAGGGTGGGGGTGGGGTGGGGAGGTGCAGCAGACATTTGTAACTTTCTTTCCTACCTATTCATTCAAGTAGGCCCAGCTGGAAAGGAATTCCTGATGAAGCCTTACAGTTCCACCTGGGACTTGCACGTACGGTTATGGCATAGACTGAGCAAGTAGGGTAGGGGCTGGGTGTGTTTGGAGTGAAGGCACCTGGGCTGAAATCCTGGCCCTGCCATTTCTCCCATACCTTCAAGCATCTATAGAGTGAGGATAGTAATTATGAAGGTCAGTTGTCTCAAAGAGACAACTGGCTGATGTGTAGATATTTTTATCATGGAGCACTTGGAAACTGGATGGTTAGCGGTGCCCGAAAGATGCAGAGCTTTTGATCTCCTGGGTGACACGAGTATGTAGGATGTCTGGTTGCGGTCAGTGCTATGAATGGGAAAGGACAAGGTCCCACCACTGAAGGGAAAGCTTGGTTATTAAGGAAGCCCTGCGAGGAAGGCCGTTATCCCGGGACCTGGAAGGGCTAGGGCAGGGTTCAGGCAGGAGAGCCTGAGGGGAGACCCCGAGGCAGGCGGGCAGGCGGGCAGGCGGGCAGGCGTGCGGCGTGCGCGGGCACCTGAGAGAAAGTCTGGGGATGGGTGAGTGAGGCAGCTGCGGGGGGAAGGACCAGAGCACAGGGCCTTGGAGGCCTGGGCAAGGTTGTCGGGTCTGTCCTAGGAAACCGTGCACACAGTAGCCAGTAGGGGCTAGAATGGACGTGATCTAATTCCCCACTTGAGAAGGTCCTGTTCTGGATGGAGAGCAGATTAGGGTGGGTCTGGCGGTGAGATGGAAGCAAGGAGGTCTGTCAGGAGGCTGTTGCGAGGGGTGACGAAAGCTTGCATTGACAGTGGTAGTGAAGGTGGCAAGATGAATTCGAGATAGGCTTTGGAAGAACCAACAGCCAGGGGAGGCGTTAAGTGCGGGGAATGGGGAGTAGAGGTAACTCCCAGGCTCCTGGCTTGGGCGGCTGGGTGCATAGAGGTGCCATTTATAGAGATGCCCATGACAGGAGGAGCTTCGAGGCAGGGGTCAGGGTTAAGTGTTTGGATATATTTGAGAACTACGGGGCATGCGTTCCATGACCAATGGCTTCTATTGCTTATTTCAGTTACTTGTGTTAAGTTTGGCTCCTTTGTGGCGCCCTGAGGACAGGAGTGGAAGTGCTTTGTCAAAACAGTATGAGGCACCAGACACTACTGTTGGCGCTGGGGTAAAGATAAGGAGGACGTGTTCCACGCACTTGAAGAGATAAAGCATTACAACAGCATCACAGAAAGTGCTATAATGAGAGATTGCAAAGTGTTTCAGAAACTCAGAGGGGGGAGCCAATGTTTAGTGCCTGGGCTGGGAAAGCGGTCCAGAGACATTGACCTTGAGGGAGAATTCACCAGGATGGGAAGAGAATGGCATGGGCGGGAACCAGAAGCTTGAGCGAACACGGTGGGTTTGAGGAAGATGAGTGGAGAGCAGGGCGTCGCCTTTGCCCAGAGCGAGTCCATCCAAAGGCCCTAGAAAGTTGTTAGGGCAAATTCTAGTCTCCCGTTTCATACTCCCAGCCCCACCCGGATTTCCGGCGAAGTGCCGGCGCTTGGATGAAACTCACTAAATAACTGGTGAATTTAGTTTTTCCTAAACATCCCAAACTTCAAACAGAGGAATAAAATCTTTAACCCTCTTGCTGATCCTTCAAGCTGGGTCATCAGTGAACCACCTCCTGGCACTGACCACAGCTGGGTCATCAGTGAACCACCTCCTGGCACTGACCACAGCACAGGGTGGGGTGAGCGGGAGAAGACAGTGGGCTGCCTGGTGGGGCAGGAGGTCGGGAGCGATGGGCAATTCTGCAGTGCGGTTCCCGCTTACCGTATTTCTCACGGGACAAGGGCACACTGTGAGACTGGAGGAAAGAGGCTCGGGGTTTATTTGGGGCTTACGGTGGACAGCCTTAAGACAGACCATTTCACTGCAGGTCGAACAGAAGAACCTTGCTGGTTGTGCTGGCCCCATTTGGCCTCCTTCGCGGCTTCTGCTTGTGAACACCCTTGGCACCACCCGAAAGGCCTGCTCTCTCGGCCAATGCCTCCTTCTTTCCCATGTTCCCTTCCTTTGAAACAGCTTAGTGCCATACTCCCTTCCCCCCAGGAATCAGATGCCCCCAAAACCTTATAACCTATTACCTTCTTTTTGGAGACAGATACAGAAAAGGTCAATGTTATGCAGCCTAGTGAAACAACTAATCTCCTTTACTGCTGAACCCACAAAGCACCCAACTCATTCCTTTCAACATCTTGATGTTTGTTACTGAAGTTTGCCCTCTAGGACTTTATTTTGGGTGATGTGCCCCCTTCTAAGCATCCTGGGGTCCTCTGTGTCTCGCCTGTGAACCACTGGGGCAGGCACAGTGGTCTCCCCATCGGGCGGGGGGGCTCCTTGAGGGGGAAGTGTTTCATTCCTCTGGAGCTCTTCCGGACGCTCAGGGGCTGACTGATGGCCTGTGTCCTAACGGTTGTCTTATACAAGGTGAGGGACCTGGGACCCAGTTCTTCTCCAGGTCAGAAGACACATGGATTTGGGTCCTTGAGATCGGGAGAGTGAGTAGGGAGAAGGTGGCTATGTTCAGGCTGGGGCTGTTGTCCTTACCTGTGTTGCAAACCTATTTCCCCTCCCAAGGGTAGGGACCAGGGCTGTTTAATATTGCCCTGTGCAATTCTAGGAAAGGCCTTCTGGCCTGCTGGAGTGACAAGCTGTTGGGCAGGGTGCATAGCCCAGGCCATTCCTGCTCCCTGCCCGGTAACGGAGAAGCCATGACTGTTCATTTGTTTATTGAGCCCCTACTATGTTCTGGGCACAGGAGATAGAGAAGGGGGTGAGACTCCATGCTGCCATGCAGTCAAGTAAGAGCTCTGAGTGCAGAGGGAGACAAGGTGGCTCCAGCTTGAGACCGAGACAACAGTGCACGTTCTGCGTGACCGCTGCTTGAGACCGAGAGTCCAGGAAGGAACCCCACTGAGCTCACGGCGAGCCTGGTGGGACGTGCCAGCGTTGCACACAGGACACACACACACACACACACGAGCTGGCCTGGCCCGCTGGTCAGCTGTGACGTCCAGGTGTGGAGAAGGGGCTTCATCCTCCGGGCAGCATGCGATAGGGGCTCTCACTCCGACCTGTGCTCCTCACCCTCTCTGCCTGGGAAGAGTTTTGTACGTGGTCGGTGGTGGTCTGGGGAGTCTTGCCTGGCCCCTCCACGCTTGGAGGCCTTCCCAAGTCCCTCCACCTTAGGCCCTCCATCCCCCTGACTCCCATTTCTCGGGCTACAGATTTCTAGGGTGATCAAATTACAGGCCCATCTGCCCTGTATTCCGTTAGGTGGTGGTTAGTCCTCCAGAGTATGGGCGGAGTTATCCTATCTGAAGGAGGGGGAGTGGCAATCCAGCTTTTAAAATCCCAAAGGCCAGCCTGGGGACATAGAAAGTGCCTTGGACAAGGAGACAGGAGACACAGCTTGTAGTCCTGGCTCTGTTATCTGCTCACTGTGTGACTCTGGGCAAGTTGCTTTCCATCCCTGCAAAGTGACTTAACACTCCTGCCCACACTCTGCATGAGGGACCTTCATTTCTGCGTTGGTATTGGGGTGACTTCCATGGTCCTTAAATAGAATGACTCAAACAAACACTTAGGGAAAAAGTCTTAGGGGAAAATAGAGGACCCCCGTCTTTGTTCCCAAGAGCCTATGGTGGAAGGAGTAGGTGTTCTGCTGGGAAGGGAGAGAGGGGCCCAGAGTCTGCAGCTCCTGGGGAAGAGGCCGGGCCTTAGCAAAGGCGCACTGGAGCTCAGGGTCTCTGACCGGTTAGGATGCCCTCTGCCCTTTGTCCTGTGTGGGCTGGCTTGAGCTTTTTTTAAATCCTCACTTGAGGACATGCTTACTGATCTTAGTGAGGTGGGGAGGGAAGGAGAGAGGGATGGAGCGAAACATTGATGTGAGAAAAAAACATTGATCGGCTGCCTCTCGTATGTACCCAGACCAGGAACGCAACCCGCAACCTAAGCATGTGCCCTGACCAGGGATGGAACCCACGACGTGTCCGGTTATGGGACTACACTCCAGCCAGCTGAGCCACGCTGCCCAGGGCTGCCTTGAGCGTTTGGTCACTCCCCCAGGCTGACTCCCTTACCTACTTGCATGCCTGCTCCTTTATCATGCATACCCTTGACCTATCTGGGGCATGGTTTTAGTTGATAGCTGCTTAGGGTGCTTCCCCTCTGAGGGTGATTTGCACTTAGGTCCGATTGCTGAAGACAGAAAATATGTTAAGACTGAAGGCATGACTTTCTAATGAGCAACGACTAGTGAGGGAGAAGGGGGGTGCTCCAGGGTCTGGGAAACCGCATCATTCTCTGTGGCTCCAGCTGGCCCTGAGAGCTGGGGGGCAGAGGGCACCCGGGTGTGCTGGCAGAGAGGGCGCAGCATCAGGGCTACAGCTGTGTCAGGCCTGCAGCGTCGAAGGGACTCCTCCCTGTACCTCAGCTGCTCTCTCCTGCAGGGCCTCAGCCTAGCTTGTGGGGAGCCTGCTCTGTCTGTCCAGCTGTCGAGCCCCCACTGCTGAGGCCGAGAGCAAAGTATATGTCACCTTCTCAGGACGCCCTTGCAGTCAGTCCACTAGAGACTCGCTTACCTTCCGTGGATGGTCCTCTCCTGCCTGGGAGGTCCTGGCCCATCTGTCCTCGCTGATGCCCTGCTGGTGAAGAGAGAAGAGAGAGAGGAGGAGGACAAAGCGCAGCAGTGGGAGGCTGTCTTTGTGGGGAACCACGAAGGGCAGGGATGGGGCAGGGGCTGGGGCCTCCTAGATGGAGTCATTTCTCAATCACTGTGAGCTGAGGAGAAAGCATGGATTGGTTCACTCCCTCCCTGACTCATTCATTGATTCCTTCTCCTTTCTCCTCCTTTCTCCCTCTCTTCTGCCCTTCTTTCCCCAGATACCCGCTGGGCACCTCTTACAGAAACTGCTGCGTGTTGTGGATACAGAGGAGAGGGCAGACCTGCTACTTGACCGTGGAGGGTCTCCACTCTAGAGCCCCCAGCCTAGTGACCCAGTGGGACAGTGTGGTGTGGCAGGGACAGCATTATGCCCATGGAGACCAGCTCCATCTGGGCAGGGCGGGTGGTCAGGGAAGGAGAGATGGGGCTCAAGCCACGTCAGAGAGGGCAGCCCTGGAGGGTGGGGCGAGTCCTCAGGGCGTTGGTTTGAGAGTAGTGGTGGGGGGAGGGGAGGCAGAGGGCGGGTAAGTCTTGGCTGGTTTTCTTTTTCCCTTTTCACCAAGGGATTTTTGGCAGGTTACTGGCTGCTCAGATGTGCACGTTTAAGATCTTTGAGGCTGCAAGGTGGGAAATGGATTGATTCGTTTTTCCAGTTGCAGGCTTTAGGTAAAAATTAGCCAAGGTGATTCTGAATCTTTGGCAGAACTGGATTCATCCCGTTTCTTTCTTATCCCCGCACCTACACCCTGGGCATGCACAGGCCTCCCCTCTGAGGAAACAACCAGGAAGCCAAGCACGGGCCCCACCCTCGGTAATGCCAGCCTGGCGCGTGTGCCCCTGGCCGGGGCTCCTCCCCCCACTGCCCCGACTTATTCGAGGCTCGGACAACTGGGCCCTCCTGGGAAAGCATGCTGAGGGCAAGGTCTGGACAACACGTACCCGTTTGTTCTTGCTGGCTGGATAGGAGGCACCCCTGGGGGAGGGAAAAAGAAGGAATGAGGACTGCACCGCTTCCCCGGGGCTGGGTGCAGTGGGAGGGGCTCCTGGCTATCCCGGGGCTCAGTGCCTGCGATGGGTCTTCGGTGGAGCTCCAGCCACTCCCCACTGTCCACCCATGGCTGAGCCACGCAGCTGCTCCTGCTAGGAGGCAGTGTGGGGGAGGGGAAGGCACTGGCCCCTGGCCCCCCCGCACCGGTTGGGCAGCCTTGAAAAGCACTTACCCTGTCAGAACCTCAGTTTTCTCGCTCATGGTGAAGAGGCTGTGGTTGTGGAGTTTAATCACATGTGAGCCTACTAGGTGCTCAATAAGCAGGCCTCTCCCATGCCTGTGCCCTGCTTCCCTGGTGTGGGATTGGGAAGAGAACTCTGCAATGGCCTGGTCCCAAAGTCACGTTCTTGAGGAGGACACGACGGCCAAAAGTGTATGGTCACAAGTTGCCTTTCTCTATTTTTACATGTATATTTTTAATTATAAAAGCGGTCTTTGCATACTACCCACTATAAAAAGAATCAAGTGATGTAAAGGCTTGTACAGTAAACATGAAAGTCCCCCCTTCACTTTCTCTCTCTCACCCCTGCTTTCTATCCTTGATGTAATCACTATGGACGGTCTGGTGGTTATCTCTCTAGAACTTTCCCTGTGCGAGTGTATATTTGTATGCCATTAAAAAACAACAACAACAACAACAAAAAAAAAAAACCAGAGCCCTGGCTGGCATAGCTCAGTGGATTGAGCGCAGGCTGTGAACCAAAATGTTGCAGGTTTGATTCTCAGTCAGGCCACATACCTGGGTTGCAGGCCATGGCCCCCAGTAACCGCACATTGATGTTTCTCTCTCTCTCTCTCTCTCCCTCCCTTCCCTCTCTAAAAAAAAAAATAAATAAAATAAAATCTTAAAAACAAAAACAAAAACAACAAGTGGGCCCACGTCGTACACACTGTTATATGACTTGCTTTTTCTACCGAAGCAGAATCTCGGAGATCTTTCTGTGTTTCTCCACACACCTGCCTCATCCTTTTTGATGGATGTGCCTAACATATTTGACTGTCCCCCTACTGGTGACTTTCATGTCATTTCTCAATTCTTGCCATTACAGACAAGCCGTGTCAGTGAGCACTCTGGTCCAACTGCCTCAGGGCTCACGAACTTCCACTGGGGAGATCCCCGCAGTGAGACTCGGTCAGAAGGATGCTCATGTCCTACTTTGATGGCCATTGTCAATATGCCCGCCAACAGACAGGGCACGACAGTGCCAGGCCCTTCACACCCTCGCCAACACCACTTAAAATACATGCGATGTTGACAAGAAAGAGAAAACCGCTCTCTGTCCGGACTATTTTATCCTTGGCCCCCTAGGACATGACTCCTGCATTGAGGGTCCCCTCAGGGAACACAGGTTCATTTGAACAATTCTATTCCAAACAAGCAGAATTAGGAACCTGGCCTGTGGCTTTGCTCACACCTGGATGCTGGCCCGTAGCTCCACCGCCGCTCTTCGAATTCATCCATAGCATTGAAGGTGCGCAGACACCAGCAGGTGCAAAGCATCTGCCCTTCCCCTTAGGGCCACTCTACTCCCCGTGTGCCAGAGACAGCCCAGGTTTACCTGGCACAATGAACACTCCCCAAAGTGTCCCGGTTTGGAGGATAATTTAGATGGACACTCTGCTCCACCCCATCCCTGGAGCGACCCCTACTGGCCTGGAGTAACGGACTCTGAGTCCTGGGCTTTATTTAAGCCAGGACCCCTGCTTGGTGTGACAACCCACTCAAAATCACTCCTGCGTGGGCACCCCACCCACCCACCTTTGTCACTCACCTCCCACCCGCTTCCCCATCAGCCCGAAGAACTGGCTCACTCTGCCCCTCTGCACCTCCTGAAGCTGGAGCTGGATGCTGGGGATCACATCTTCCTGCAAGAGCAGAGAGTCCGTTAGAGTTACAGCTGGAGGGAGGCTGGCACGCAGCGGCGGCGGTGGCAGCGGGGCCAGCCTGAGCAATAAGTTTCAGTAACTGGCAGTTGCTCTGTGCTGGCGCCAGGCCCTTTTGCATACTTTACAAATACCACGCAGCAATAATAATAGCCAGCGTTTCACCTTCTACGTTCCTGGCTCTGTTCTAAGCACTTTAACGTATTAATTCCATTTAATCCTCACTAAAACCCCGTGGACTAAGTGCTATTATTGTCACCACTTTATAAATGAAAGCACCAAGGCACAGAGAGATTCAATAACTCGTCGTCCGAGGTCACCACCTAGGACATGAGCGATGGCGCAAGTCATCCGCCTCAGGGGCGCAAACACAGCGGTCATCGTTTCATTTACTCTTCACAACCCCCGTGTGAAATAGGGATGCCGATCTAGTCCCATTTTGTAGATGGGGAAACTGAGAGTTATGGAAGTTAACTGATTTTCCAGGATCGCACAGGGAGTGGCAGAGCCAGGATTTAAACCCAGGAATGCTGGCTCCAGAGCCTGGGTTCTGCTGCGTCTCCAGAACAGACAAGGAGGGGGCAGCTGATGGACTCGGGGTGGGCACCCAGTAAGCAAGGTGAGACTGCTTCCCCTCCCGCCCCGCTCTGGTCTCCCCTCGTCCTCTGGCATTGCCCCAGTGGCCCGGAGTTGTCCTGCCCTAGAGCCCCGGCCTGCCGGGAGGAACGCGGCACATGGCCCGGGGTGGAGGCCACTACTCTGGGCAAGCACGTTTTCATCCTTGAGTGAATGCGGCCAAAGTTCTGGGCCGAGGGCTGTGGATTGAAGTTCTCATGCCTCCATCAGCCTTGCCTGAAGTTTGTTCTCTCTCTGACCCCTGCTAAGAGGAAGAGAGGCTCACTGTGCGAGTGAGGGTGACAGTGGGTGACGCCCATCAGACCTGTTTCACGTCTCTGTGTACCCAGGGCCTGGCACAGCGCCTGGGAGACGCAGAAGCGCGGCCCTGCGGGACACAGAGCGCTGAACAGTCTGGCAGAAGCAAAGGGAGTGGGGTCTCCTCTTCCAGGAGGGCCGAAGACAGGCGATGGAGAGAGTGATGGACACCCTGCCGGGGGCTGAGCGCTGGGCGGGATCAGGGGCTCCCTCTGCCACCCCTAGGGGCAGTGCTGGAGCTCCAGGAACCAGCAGGGACACTGCTGGGGTGCAGAGGGAACCCTTGAACCTCTCACAGCTACTCTCGTCCTGACTTTCAGGAGTAGAAGTGGATTATTTTTCTAAGACTTGGACTCATTCAGTCCCTTCCATCTGTCTCCTCCCAAGGATGCCAGTGGCCAGGGCAGCTGTCTTGGGCTGGAGTGGCCTAGCCTGGCCAGGAACTGGAAAAGTCTCTTTGGAGATTTGGACCCATTTCTGTAAAGCTCATGAAAGCCACTTGGTAAAAGGCAGCCGTCAACTACAAGCTGGGGAGGATGACTACTTATAAATTAAATAGGGCTCACCTTTCTTCCACCCACCAGGGGGCCCTTGGGAGACACCCTTCCCTTCACTCGGGGAGGACCCTGTGAGCCCTCTCCTTACTCGCCCTCCCCAGGGGTGGCTGCAGGCAGGGGGGCCTGCGAGATAGGGAGGGGACCAGAGGGTCCATGACATCAGTGCCTCCTTTCCTCCCGTCACCCCACTCGTGTTCATGGTTCCTGTATTCCAAGCCCCAGGACTGGGGAGGCAGAAGGATGTTAAATGAGAGAAAAGGAGACTAAGCAGTACACCTGGCTGCAAGGTGAGGGGCTTGCAGGTAGAAAGCCCAGCAGTACCCCTGTGGCCGCATACAGTAGCTTTTCAGCATGGCTCGGCCACCCCGGGCCTGGGTCAGGTCCCTGGATGTTGGGCACAGACTCCGTGAAGCTTGACACATACCTGGGGGTCAGGGTCTTTCCCCCTCATTTTACAGGTGAGGAAACTGATGCTCAGAGAGCAGCAGGGACCTTCCCAAGGTCACGTGGAGTCAGTGGAGGAGCTGAGGCTTGAACCCATGCCCCCCATCCTATTACCTTCTCAGCTGCAAACACTTCCCCGTTTAGACAAACCGAGAAGGAAGCCCATCACGAATGGCTGTTCATTCTGTGGGTGTTCTTGTGGCGCCTGCGTGCTCACCATCCTGGGGCTAGGAGGAGCCAGGCTTGGCCTTGTCCCTCTGTCCACCCTCCTGGAAGCTTGCCCTGGGCACTGGCCCTGCTGTCGCTGGTCTGTTGGTCTTTCTCCCCCATCTGAGTAGAAGCTCCCCAAGGTCAAGACCTTGGGCGCCCCTACCCGATGCAGGTTCTCCGTCTTTAACCTCTGGATTTCTCCTCCGAGACAGCACTCAGGTCAGTCTAGTAGAGGAGACTGGCTGTCACACCAGCACTTGTCAGGAAGTGAGACTTTCTGCATGCAGGACAAAGCAGTGACCGGGCCCCAAAATACCCCTTCGAAATTCCCAGAAATGTCCTCTGATATCCAGATACATAGAATAAGACCTCGGATAAGGTGTGCAATTGTGCTTTTAAGGTGCATAACCTTGAACAAACTACTTGACATTTCTGTGCCTAAATTTCCTTATCTGTGAATGATTCCTTTCCCTGTGAGGTTGATAGGAGAATTCAATGTGTTAATGTTTATGAAGCATTTAAGACGTATATGTTAAATAAGCGTTAAATCAATATTTGTCTCTGTCTCTGTCTCTCTCTCTCTGCCTCTCCATGCGTGTGTCACTCCCATAAGCATGTGTCCCTTTGGAACTCATCCGGGCCCGGAACCACAGCCTTGAACCTACCTACAGAGAGGTGTCATCCAATCCGCCTTGCTGTGGACTGCCTGCTCTCCTGGCAGCCATGGAGGGAGGGGATCCTTTGCCCTGTCAACCATGGGTCATCCCTGCCTTTCCCCAAATTTACCTCCAGGGTCACGGTTAGCCAAGACCTCGCTTCAGTTCCACCGAGTGCCGGTTCCTCGTCACCCGCCACGGCGCACGCAGACAGCCCCACGAGGAGAAGCAGGGTGCGGCAGAGCAGCATGGTGGGTGTGCTCCGTGCTGGGGCCTCCCGGAGTCCCTCTCAGCCCAAAGACGCCACCTCCCTCAGGCCCGGTGTTCCCTCTGGCTCCTTCCCTGTCGGTGAGGGACGTTCCACTTGTTCCTGGTCCTACCAGCTACCCTGCTTCTTCCTTCAGCTTATCTGACCTCAGAGGGACATTTCCTGGACGCCCCTCCCTCCCGGGCTGGAAAGGCCAATGATAGCAGGACGCTTAGAGGAGGGACCAGACCGCTTCCACCACCGCCCCCAGCACTTGATCCTGGGGCTTAGCTCTCTGATGCGCCAGCGGCCTCAGCGTTGGCTGCGTTCCCTCTGGTGGCAGGTGCACAATGGGGCAGTGTGCGGGACCTGGGGCATCCAGCTTCCTGGCTGGAAGCCTGGGGCCGGGGGGGGGGCGGGGTGGCTGGGCTTGTCATCTTGGAAATGGGGAGGGGAACTGTATGGTGCTTCCCTTCCTGGGGCTCTGCTCCCCTGTAAGGGAGGCCTCTCCAAGTAGCTGGGCTTCCACCACTTGTCTCCCCTTCCTGTCACTAAGCCCTGCTTCCTCAGCGTTCCCTCCATCACGAGTCCCCGAGTGTGCATAGTGACACAGGGCTTACCCTAAGAGAAATAACATAGTGCTTAGCAAAGTGAGGCTCCTCACAGGCGGGAGTTGGGATTTGCCAGATAAATGGCTTCCTGTCAAGTGCCATGGGCCCCTGTGGTCAAAGTGATCTCCTAAAGCCCTCGCTGACCCCTCTCCCTGCTTACAAACTTCCAGCGTCCCCCAGTGTCCCTCACATGAAGTTCAAGCTCCCTAATATGGCACTCCAGGCCCTTCTTCACTTCGTTCCAGCCCTAGCACCACCCCGAAATAGCTGTGTGACCTTGGGCACATTACTTAGCCCCTCCAAGCCTTAGAGTTCTCATCTGCAAAACGGGATTAATAATAGCACTTCTTTCCAAAGTTGTCTGAGGATGAAATGAGATCATGCATGTGAAGCACTTAGCACAGGGTGATGGTAAATATTTAATACCTGTTAACTATTATTACTGTTAGCATTACTGACACTGGATGAGAGGCTTTGGGCCACCGAAGAGGAGTAAGCCGCCATCTGTGTCCCCCAGGTTCTCACGGTCCAGGAGAGGAAACCTCTGGTCCGCTGAGAAGCTGCGTTCAGTTAGTGCTGGCACAGAGTTAGGGACAAGGGAAGGGCACGCCCCCTCCCAGTTCGCCCTGCGGCCGCTCTCTGCCCCAAGGCAGGCTGAGATTTCTCAGGCTCTGTGGCCTTGCCTGCTGGCCTCTGTCTGGAACTCCCTTTCCACCTGGCGAATGCCCACCCAATCCTAAAAAGTCCAGCTTCATCGTCACCTCCTCAGTAGAGCTGTTCTGTGTCTATTCCTAACTCCAGTAAGAATTATCTGGCCTCTTCCCTGGGCTTTCTCAAGTCTCTCTCACACCTGTATCTCCTGTAGCTCTGTGTAGCCTGCAGTGCGAGGTCGTGGGGCTGTGTCCTGCACAGGGGTGGCCGCCAAAGCGGAGAGCGGAGGCAGAACCCAGTCCTCGCGCTGCTCTCCGGGTTGCACAGCCTGGTGCCACCCCTGCGAGAAGGCGCTTTGCTCTGTTGCTCCCAGAGGGGCCGGCTAGGCAGACTAGCCCTGCTAGTCTGCCATAGGGTGTTTGGTTGTGCCGTGAGCTGTCCGAGAGTGGGCTGTCACACATGTATACTCGGCACACAGTAGGTCCTTAAGAAACGTGCAGTCACGCTGAGTCCAGGCCAGGGGAAGGCAGAGATGAATGAGGGCAAGTGTGGAGGTTTAAGGGAGGACGACCACACACGCCGCCTTCTCCCCTTCCAGAAATCTCTTTGGTGGGTCCCCAACCGGATGGCTGCAGAGTCCCTGCATTTGCTGACGTGCACATTCCCCGGCTGAGCCCTGTTCTAACACAGCCTCCCCTGGTCTGCGGGTCTGTCTCAGCGCTGCAGGTGGTAGGCACGCAGCCTCCCAGGGACCTTCCCAAAGGCAGGGCGCTTAATGCCTCACATTCCCCTTTGGCTTTTCCACGGTTCTTCCTCACAGGGAACGGAGTTTTGCTTTCCACCCCCTTCATTTGACAGATGTGGAAACTAGAGCAGGTGGGCTTGCTCTAGGTCACACTGAGAACTGGTGGCATCCAGAACACCCGTCTGCTGCCTCCCACCCCCCGCTGGGGCCTGTGCCCGCCAGGGCAAGCACCACGGGCTGCAGGCAGAGCAACAGCATGGGCCTCTGGGAAGGGGCGAGGGCATCACATTCTGTGTGTGTGAACCGGGTGACTTAGGACCTAAGGAGTCTCTCTGGGCCCGTTTCTCCTTTTGCAAATTGGAGCCACCCCTCAGCGGCTGGTGCAGAAGATTTCAAAAAGATCTCCGTACAGGGTATAGTATGCACCCAATCCCAACTTCATTTCTGTGATTATGAACCCTGGGCCTCGGACCCTGTCTCCTAGCCCCACCAGCGCAGGGACCATCCCGCGTAGGCACAGGATGTGGTGGGTGCACAGCGGGGAGGTGGCAGGGGCCTTAGGGGCAGAGGACAGGGGGGGCGGGAAGAAGGCAGAGAAAATCCCAAAGATCCGGAAGGCCGGGAGGGACGCAAAGCCCAGGATGGAAACCGCGGCTATTTGCAGCATTGCCCTCGGGCTGCGGTCGGACTGGCGCTCGCAGCTTTGGCGTTGGAGCCCGCCGCCCCTCCCGGTGCCCTCGGCCACCCGGGCACTGCTCTGGCCGGCACGCCCCGCCTCGCCCCGTCCTTGCGGCCCTGAAGAGGTGGCTTGGGGCGCTCGGCTGGCAGCTGGCGGCGCGGGTCGGGATGGTACGACTCGGGGTGGGGGGGCTAGGCCAGGGGCGGGCGAGGTCCTTCGAGGCGAGGTGCGCTCCCGCCGGCGCTGGGCCGGGCGCGGGCACGGGGAGCGGTCTGACCGCGGGGTGGGTCGCGGCCGTGGCGGAGCGCCCTTGGGTCCCGGGTGGGCGCTCAGGATTGCTAAAGGCTGAGGTTTGGCTGCTGTTGCGCAGCCGAGAGAAGAAAGGGCGCAGGAGGGAGAGATCTTTTTTAAAAGTTGTGGGAGAGCAGAGAAGAGGGAAACACAAGGAGCCGAGGGCGGGATGCGGGCAGGAAGCTGACGTTTCCTGAGCGCCTGCTTTACCCAAAGTGGGTGGGATGACTGGTCCCTTTTCCCTGGCCGGAGTGAGGAGGCTGCGTGCCCGGGATGAGGCCACCCAACTGTGAAGTGGCCGAGTCGGGATTCCAGCCAAATGTGCCTCCCACTCGGATGCTCTTTCCCCTTGACTGAGAAAGGCAAACAGGAGCGAGAGGAGCCTGGCGGGGGCAGGACGATGAAAGTAGGGGAGGTGGAGTGGGATGCAGGAGGGAGGGGGCGCCAGCGGGAGGTCTCGGCTGCTGGGTAGGAACCTTTGAGGGGAGGGAGCCGAGGTTTGGCCGATAACCTGGGTTCCACTATCCCAGGTGACGCTGCTGGGGCCCTGCTTCAGTCCTTCCGCGCCCTTTCAGCGCCCCCTTGTGGAAACGTCCTGAAGCCTGATCTCTCCCAGAACTCGGAGTTGGCGGATCCGGGTGGGGCAAGGGCTGTGGGGTGGACTAGCCGGCCTCTGCTTCGGATAGAGGGTCAGGAGGCGCTGCGCCTTTAGGACGGGGTGAGGCTAGCCTCCTTGGGGGGGAGGAGGGTGGATAAACGTGGCCCGGAGAGGGTCACTGGGGCGGCAGTCTCTGCACCCCGTGCTTGGACCTTTCCAGCTGCAATGGGTTAACACCACTGAAAAGGGGCACTGCTCCTCGGATCTTTGAGGTTATCTTCATGCATTTCTTAAGTGATTCTGGATTTACTGAACTCTTACATGGTGGGGATTGCCCCAGAACCGAGATGAAGGAAACAGACAAGCGTTGTAACAGTTTTAACAGCGGGGAGCCAAGGGCCGTGGCAGGAACATTGGGAGAGAAACACGGAATCCTGTATTTCCTCACACTTGGAGGCGAGTGCACTTGAGACACTTGTCCTAAACAGGACACTATGAGCTTGGGAAAGCGGGGCTTCGCACCCAGAGTGTGGACGGAGTGTGCAGAGCTCTCGCTCTCTGTGCCCGGAGGTGGTGTGGGCAGGTGTCTCTGCCCACAGTCGTAAGAGATGACTGGGTCTTGCTTTTAGCATTTCTAGCCCCGCAGTTATGCCCGGAGTATTTTTAGCAGGATCTGAAGGTATTGCCCAGATCCAGAAAGAAATTCTCTGTGTCCTGAGAATGATTGAAATGAGTCCCTCCCCTGGCCTTTGTTATCAGGCACCCCCACCTCCCCCGCCACCAAAGGACATTCTGGCTGGACCCAGGGTCCTGGAAGCTACTCATCCTGTTTCCCTTCTCCATCGCCTTTCTCCACCAGACCCACGTGTGTCCTTTTCACAACTAAGCTCTACCAGGAAAGACAGCGTGCACTGCTGAGGGTATTCTTTTGCAAGAAGGATTTAAGTTAACAGCAGTGAAGTATAGATACATAGTGGCTAAGGGTAAGACTCTGGGTTCGAATTCTGGCCCCACCAATCCCCCACCCTCTGTGTGGCCTCAGACGTTCTGAACTTCATTTACCGCACGCAGAAGATAGGGATAATAAGGTATCCACTTCAAGAGGCTGTTGAGGTGTTTAAATGAGATAATGCATAAAAGAACTTCCGGCAGCATCCGGCACACTGTAGGCATTTAACAGATGGTAGCCATTATTATTGCTGTTTACAATACAATGAAACAATAACACGCACCCATATTTTACAAGAAAGCCCAGATGAAAGAGTCATTTTAGGCATTCTCTGATATTTCGCCATCAGGTTGAGAGTTTCCCCCAAACAGGAGCTGGTCTCCCCCGTTAGACTGGGAGCTCCCTGCAGCCGAGCCTCTTGGACCAGGCTCAGTGCGCTGGGCCTCGAAGGTGGGGTCCAGAATGCTCAGGCCTGAGGGCCAAGGAAGGCGTGTGAAGGCCCCCTTGCTGGGAATGTGGGTTCTAGTCCTGCCCCTGCCTGAAACGTGGAGGTGAGGAAGTTCCTCTCCTGAGTGCTTCGCTTCTCCCGGCATCTGTGTGCAATAAAGACACCCAGAGTCTGACCCATCCATTAGTGCACGAGAAGCTCGTGGTGAAA